ATATAATTATTACTATATATAAATCCTTGGTCAATTTAAAGAAAATATTGGGACATTGGTATAGTGAAAGGGCAAACTTCTTGTACAAGACAAGACAAGACAATCTATTACAAATGATGTACTGCAAAATGTTCAGGATCATATACAATGATACCAAAGGTATATTCAAACTCAATTGATCTTTGAATAGAATAGATTTCTATATTTGAAATTTTTATTGATTGGTTAGGATGTAATTTATATTTAGGCCACAAGAAAATGGTTTTCACCTAATTAACTTCCTGATTTAGGGGGTTCACCAAATGATATTGCAGTTCTTGACTGTGTTTTATAGCTTAAACAATAGCTGAAGTTTAAAGTTGGAGGAAGGTGTTAGGTCAAATGGTAAACAACACATTGCTTCAAGATGATGCTCCTGTGTATCAAAGATGGCAACATGCTCATGAAATTTTCCCCAAAATAATTTTGATGTCAACTAAATGAATTTTTTTTTACAAAAACACAAGATTATATATTACAAATATGCTCATGCATTAATTATCTTACCTGTGACCCCAAAAAGGCCTACATTTTTAGAATGAGAGCCCTACGTTAATTGTGCAAAGTGATGCCAAGGATTTATATAGTAATATATTGTTATATAAATCCTTGGTTATAATATTTAATTTCTTTCTGACTAAAAGGTGTTCAATAAATTAAAAACTTAAAATCATATAGGGTGCAGTAATTATATTTTCGTATTTCAATCATAATTACATAATCACACCATTCCCTTAATGTCTGCAGGGAGCCAAAAAAAAAAAACCCGACCAATTATTATATTCATTTCTGAAGAGAGAAAAACTTATTTGACAGACATACAGATATACGACAGACAGACAGTTCGACAGACAGACAGTTAGACATACAGGCGCTGCATGGCTCTCGTCGATTTGTGCAGGCACTAACTGTAATTGGATAAATAGAAACACTGTTTTAATTTGTAGTTGGTACCGGTATTCACTAAATACCACATAGTGTTTTAACTAGGTTTTTTTTTTTTAGTGTTTTATGTTTTTACAATGCAAAACCCATATTCCAGGGGTCAAAGAGATTATTTGTCACATATGAATAAACGTTTATCATTGCTTTGACTGTCAGTTTTCTGTTGTTTGAAGAAAAAAAACTCGTGTGAAAATAATTTTACAGTCGCTAACTTCACTTCCCGATTATGAACACGTCATTACATCAAACAAATGATTAAGTTATATACACCTAATTTATTTATGGTATTTGGCCTGTTGTGTAAACATTTGAAAGTATAACCTAACATATCTTATATCATTCCATCCGCATTGTTGTTAGTTTATTAACCGGATTTTTCTAAAAACTGATAAATGCAAACAGTATTATATGGATTAATGAAAGAGAGGAAAAGAAGGGATATGGGTTAAAATACACGAAACAACAGTCTAATTAAATATTAGGATATAAGAGAGGTATTTAAAGACACCGTGGTTTTATTCTTGTTCTTCTAGAAGGTCTACTGCCATGAACATAAGGGAAAGCTACATAAGTACTCCTTGATATTTACTGATACTTTACGCAGAATGGCGGCTTCAAATTATATGGCCATGTTAGGAGATCAAGTAAAGTTTCAAGGTGAAATTAGAAAGAACCTCCTCTCAACAACTCAGCAGGTGTCCGACTGAAGCATGTTGCAAGACAGAAATTTAAAAGATGCCTTTATTTTCGTATTGATATAAAAAGTTTTCCCAACATACCCAATTATATTATGTTGAATTCCTAATCGTCCTGATTACATGAAATATTTGCAGCAGTACAGTAAGCAACCGACGTTAAATACTGATGAAGTCTCCCGACTAGTTCCACCATTCGATGCCCGCGACTTCTTGACCGTAATTAAAACAATCAGCTACTAGTATAATTGATTACACCCACATTGGTCTTTGGTATAGAGTTGTCTTGTTGGCAATCATACCACATCTTATTTTTATACGGGTAATTACAAAAACAAAACTTTACGACAAAAGAGATGATTTCAGCTTCCCAATTGTGAACTTTCCATTTCTATGTAGCAACATTCCAGCAGCGCCTGCATACGGAGTATATATCGCCCAATTGATACGATATTCCCGGGCTTGTATTTCCTATCATGATTTCCTTAATAGAGGATTGCTGCTCACAAGGAAGCTATTAAACCAAGAGTTCCAAATGGTGAAGTTGAAATCATCCCTTCGTAAATTTTACGGACGCCATCACGAGTTGGTTGACCGTTATGGAATAACCGTTTCACAGATGATATCGGATATGTTCCTTATGTCGTAACTACAATACCCTTCCCTTTTCACGAATGTGACCTACCGAATTATAGACTATTTACCGGATCTGCTTACCCTTCCGGAGCACCTGAGATCACCCCGCGGTTTTGGTGGGGTTCGTGTTGCCTAGTCTTTAGTTTTCTATGTTGTGTCATCTGTACTATTATTTGTCTGTTTGTCTTTTTATTTTTGGCCATGGCGTTGTCAGTTTGTTTTCGATCTATGAGTTTGACTGTCCCTCTGGTATCTTTCGTCCCTCTTTTACAAGACATCATAAAAAATTTTTTGACAATACAAAGTATAGGTTGAAAAGAGCAGTGTAAACGGATGGATTGTATCTGAAACAACTGTAACACATGAGTTATAGATGTCTCATATTGATAGACGAATTTTACCTAAGTTGAACTATGATGAAGCTGTATTTATATGTATCACTAAATATGATCTCATGAACAAACACTCCATATAACTGGAAATAATAAGGATCATATGCTTCAAACTCTGGACACAATTTAAGATCCTCATAACCTTCAAACACTTTGGTCATATGTTCTTTATGTCTTGTTGTGATTTTGTTGAGGGTTTTGGTGAGTGATACGTTTTAATTTTGAAAATGATATTAAAAAGTTGTTTTTCAGATAGAAATAACACTGAAATTTACAGCCTTCTTTGCATATATGTTAAGTTTTTTTAAGATTTAATGTTTACATAAAATCCCAAAACGAGTCTTTCTCTAACGCTGCAAACCTTTTACGATATTATCCTCAGATATGTACCCGAATAAAACATGAGTGTAAATATCGAAATTGTTTGGTCGAGATTATTTTTTTCATACTGACTTGTTGAAAACTTCAGTTCTCTTCTTGCTGTTTGTCTCGCCTGTGACGAAAGTTTCAGAATGCAAGACATATGGGTTGCTAAACAGGCGACGGCATCATTTGGTAAACTATTTGTTTAAAGCTTAACATTTCATATTTTTATGCCGATGTTGATGTTGGAAAATAAGAATAGATGGGCATCATATATAAACTACTGTTATTGTAAAATCGTATGGATAAGAACAAGAACAAATTAAACAGGTGAAAATAAGATAAATATTAAGGATAATTCACAAGAACAAAAAAATATAGAAAAAGGGGGATCAATTCCCCGAGCGCCTATGAACTATAATTCGTATATAGAATCATTTCAAGGTAAGCATGTAATTCAGACAGGGTTCTCTTGACTTCATTTCATGGATCACTGACCAACTTTAAATATTGCCGATACTTAAAGCGAAAGGTTTGAGTGTTTGGTGTATGAAATGCATGTCACGGCCGTATGGCAGCCGGGGTCTATCTGACCTTGACCTCTTATTCTTGGTTCCGATTGGTCATCGAGGTGATGTCAGTTTCTCAGATACTATAATCCTATAAGCAATATGTCAGCTATATTTGATCCGCAAGGATTTTTTATAAAAAAATTGATGTCCGTCTAGTAGGGTTCATCTGGTCGTTACCTCATTTTCATGGTTCATTGGTCGATGTCCGTCGCTCAGATACAATAAGCAAAATGTCAACTTTTATTTGGTGTATGGAATGGGAATGATTATGCTATAAAGGTGTAGATAACCGTCTGACAGGACTCATCTTACCTTGACCTCAGTTTCATTGGTCATTGGTTATGTTATGTTTATGTGCTATCTGTAGTAAAACCTTCATCTTAAAGACTTTCAGCATAACATTCAGTCGTGTTTACTCTTGAGTGTTCACTCTTGCGATATATTTGCAGAAAATATCCGAACAATGTGGAGAATTAATACACACTCCGATCGACGTCAAATAATGTATACAAAAATTTCGTGAGCCATGGAATATTTAAAAAAAAAAAATCTTTTAAATTAAGACACGAAATTCTATGATTTATTTTGTTCAAATATCCCATGGGCAGCGAACGCTTGCATAAATACGCATCTAGACGGCTTGATTTTAGCGGTAGTAAAACCACGGAAACTTCTTAAATGTGAATTTCATTATTACACGGAATGTTTGTTTGGGACAGTTATTTAGATAGAGACCAAGGAATCAGACTTTCCTTGTTTTTTTTTTAACATTTTTTTTAAAAAGTACTGTAGTACTGTTGTACTAGTTTATTTTTTTCGGCATGGAAGGCGATCTATATAAGGAAATAACTCGTCAAGGAATGATATGAGAGATAAACGAGAGACCAATTCAAAAGAAAAAATAACCACTGTCATCCGTTCACGTACATAGATCTACCTTGTAATTTATTGTTTGAATAAAAACAATAACCCGGCTCGGGTAGGCAGAAGTAAATTGCGATTTTTGACTGACAGGTTAAGTAGGCTTTTAACGTTACCCATGTTTAATTCAATACCAGATAAACTTTGACTTTTGACCAGCTTTTACAAATGAATACGATTTTGTATCAATGCTGATAAGACACACAGTTATCTAAACTGTCATAAAATTTTACAGGTGAATATTGACTTTGATCTTGTGCTAATAATCACTTTTAACCACGTGCAAATGAATACACCAATGAAAAATGTTCGTATGTTCCGTTATCTGAAACAGGAAATTGATAATATTTATATGCGCATGTGTCAACATACTTTAACCCTGGAAAATCAGAAATCCGTCTGCTAAGGTCCTTACTATTTTAAGGAGTAAAGTAACGGTAAAATGGCAACGCAGACCTTAGAGAAAAGTAAACAGGGAATAGCAGGCGCTCAAAATGAACAAAATCTTCTATGCTTAATAGACAGAACAAATTATCCAATGCTTCAGGAAAATGGACAGAGAAAATATGGACCACCACCTGACTGGAAAGGACCGGCACCACAGAGGGGTTGTGAAATTTTCATAGGTAAAATACCCCGCGATTGCTTTGAAGATGAACTTGTTCCAGTGTTTGAAAAAATTGGAAAACTATATGAACTAAGGTTAATGATGGATTTTAGTGGTTCAAATCGTGGGTATGCATTTGTTATGTACACAAACCGCATTGATGCTCAAAGGGCAGTTAAAGAACTAAATAATTATGAATTGAGGAAAGGCAGATTAATAGGTGTTTGCATGTCTGTTGATAATTGTAGACTTTTTGTTGGAGGCATACCGAAAACAAAAGGACAGCAAGAAATCCTGCAAGAAATGATAAAAGTGACTGAAGGTGTAGTGGACGTTATAGTTTATCCAAGTGCTGTAGATAAAACGAAAAACAGAGGATTTGCTTTTGTTGAGTATGAAAATCACAGAGCTGCAGCAATGGCCAGAAGAAAATTGATCCCAGGTAGAATTCAGCTTTGGGGACACCAAATAGCAGTAGACTGGGCTGAACCAGAACAAGAGGTGGATGAAGACACAATGGGTTCAGTAGGTGTTAATTTAGGACATTGTATTGTTAAATGTAGAAGTTTCACTTGGTGTCATTGAAAATTTTAGACCATGGGCAATCTGCATTTTTGCCACACCTTTTCACTGACTTAAGAGCCAAATCTATATATAAAATTAAAGTTTGATAAGAGTTTCTTTTCTTCCAAATTATTTTTCGTCCTGAACATGCATGAAATATTTGCCACTGAACGTTAACAAGGATTTGTATAGTAAGACTATATAAATCCTTGACGTTAAGCAACAAACTATCAATCCAAAATTTTTATTGACTTGATTCATTATGCACTGTTCTTATTTTAAACTCTTACTCTAAAAATATACAGTGCCTATACCAAGTCATTCTATTAACAGGATTCATTTGCAGAATGCAAGTTTAAATTAATGTATTATATGGCCATGTTCAAATCTGTATCAGAATCTTAATTTGAAATACTTTAATAGAAAATTTGTGGAAAAAGGGATATTTTTCTCAGGAAATCTGAATTATGTATCATATTGTGCCATAATTCAGACTTCCAGATCCAAAGTATTAGTAGCAAATAAAAACTGTTGATTTTCTTTATTATGTAGCTTGCTTTGCAATCTATGGGTTATTTTTTTATAATATTATAATTGTGATAACTACACTTTTAGTCAAGTACATGTACATGTACACAAGCATGCCAAGAAATCCTCGCTAAAAATTCCGGTCGACCTCCTACGGCAACCATTAGTAATTAAAGATTTGATTTCATTCAACAAATTAATTTATGACCTTTGTGTACGTGTCGTTTAGAATACGGCAATATACCAAATGGTCAATATTAATCATCCATGTAATTTGCTCCATGGGATATTTTCATAAAAAGGACGCTATTTCTTGGCATGGGAATTCGAACATGGAAGAAATACCATTCACAGTTTGTCTTACATTTGTTTTTCTCTCTTTTAATTAAATAAAAGAAAATATCTTTCAGATGTAGAGTTCATAAGATAAAAATATTCCCTATGGAACACCTCCCCCCTTTTTTTTGTGTTCACAATTTTAAACTGAATAAAGTTTTCCAATCTAATTAAAACCTTGCTTTCTAACCGATCTATTCATGTACTGGACAGGCAACTTTCTTTATTTAATAAGAAAATCTACAATGCCGTTATACACATGCATGTTGTTTGTTGGCAGTCCCCGCCCGCAAACAAAGAAATAGCCCAACTCCAAGATACTATATTCCTCCATCACGTGATTTATACCACGCGGAGCTTACATAAGAATAAATACCTAATATGGAAAGTGAAACTACAAAATAAAACAAAGTCCGAAGGCACATAGAAGAAAATGAAGGTTTTATTTTTGGCAAAGGGTGCCGGGGTAATCCTCTCTGTGTTCGAAGTATACACGAAATATTTGCCACTGCCCCTTTTTCTGTTCTATGAATTCTAACCCTGCGTTTTCTATCTGTTACAGGAGAAAGGAAGAAAGACCATTCACACTTTGTCTTACATTTGTTTTTCTCTCTTTTAATTAAATAAAAGAAAATATCTTTCATATGTAGAGTTCATAAGATAAAATATTCCCTATGGAACACCTCCCCCCTTTTTTTGGTGCTCTCTATTCTAAACCCTCGAATAAAGCTTGCTTTCTAACCGATCTATTCATGTACCGGACAGGCAACTTTCTTTATTTAATTAGAAAATCTACAATGCCGTTATACACATGCATTTTGTTTGCTGGGAGTCCCCGCTTGCAAAGAAATAAATAGCCCAACTCCAAGATACTATATTCCTGATTCACGTGATTTTTACCACGCGGAGCTTACTTTAGAATAAATACCTAATATGGAAAGTGAAACTACAATTCAAAACATAAAGTCCGAAGGCACATAGAAGAAAATGAAGGATTTATTTTTGGCAAAGGGTGCCGGGGTAATCCTCTCTGTGTTCGAAGTATACACGAAATATTTGCCACTGCCCCTTTTTCTGTTCTATGAATTCTAACCCTGCGTTTTCTATCTGTTACATGCCAAGAAATCCTCGCTAAAAATTCCGGTCGACCTCCTACGGCAACCATTAGTAATTAAAAATTTGATTTCATTCAACAAATTAATTTATGACCTTCGTGTACATGTATGTACGTGTCGTGTAGAATACGGCAATATACCAAATGGTCAATATTAATCATCCATGTAATTTGCTCCATGGGATATTTGCAGAATTTCAACGGAGGCAATTTCTTGGCATGATTGAACAATGAAACACCCATTCAGGATTACCTTCGGTATATATACATGTATATATATCATATAATTTTGAAGACTACAATATGTATTCCATACATAATCATCAATGTTCTTATTATAAGAATATGCTTACATGTATAAGAATAGATTAAGTATAAAAATGAAATATGAGAGAAAATGGGTCTAGCAAACCGATATTAGGAATTCACTCCTACAAAAAAAAAGAGAGAGCAAGCTTGCCAATGACAAAAATAATTAAAATGCATGTTCATTTTGTAGAAGGCAGCATGTGGTTTTCAACAATAGACAGCACTGGTGTCTATACATTATGTCAATCTCTAAATTGTCCTGATTCTGTTAAAGCTGTACATGTGAATAAATTAAAAAGAAACTATCAAAAATCTACTTTCAACACAAAATTTTCTACAAGGCAAAAAACTGAAAGACAACCATTGATTAGCATGACATGAATTAGCAGATAAGTTACCTTTATTGAGATTTCCACTTCAAAAATATCAGTAATAAATCCTCTGAATTTTTAACAAAACCCTTGTCAAAATAGTGATAAAACAAAGTTTATGTATAACATGAGTCGATAATGATGAGACATTTTATGATTTTCAATAGTTGCAGCTCTAATTTCCTTGCATAATAAAATTCAAAACAACACAGATTTGAAGAGGAGCACATAATCCTTAAATGCTGCAAGTGTCTCACTGTATCTTATTAGTCCCCTTCCGTCTGTCAGTCCAGCAAATCAGTTTTCAACATTTTTTTCTTAATGCTTGAAGATATTGATTTGATATTTAGTCTATAGTTTTATCATGACCAGTTACAGATTAAGTTTGAATTTTGTTCCCATCTGATGATTTTGTGCAGAGTTATGGTCCTTGGACTTTGAAAATTCACCCCAGTAATCAGTTTTCTGCACTTTTTCTCGTCATGCTTGAAGATATAGATTTGATAATTGACTTATAGTTTGACCCTGACAAGTTACAGATCAAATTTGAAATTTTGTTCTGATCTGATGATTTTGTGCAGAGTTTTGGTCCTTGGACTTAGAAAAATTCATGCTAATAATCAATTTTCCACACTTTTATTTTGTTATGCTTGAAGATATTGATTTGATATTTGGTATGCTACTATGTAGTTTTACCATGATAAGTTACAGATCAAGTTTCGAATTATGTTTGGTTCAGTTCGTATTATCATTCATCATGCTTGAAGATATTGATTTGATATTTCTTGTATAGTTTACACCATGACAAGTTATAGATCAAGTTAGCATTTTGTTCCAGTTCAATGAATTTATAACTGGTAAGGGACTATGTATTGCCATGCAATACTCTCAGAATGCTTGTTCTAGCATATGTTATGTTCTACATTTGTTTTTCTTTCCATATGTGTTTTTTGGCAATTTTACTTAACAGATTCAAGTTTCAGGATAGTATTTTTGTGTGGTTATTGCATTTTCTGCTATATAGTGTTGAATAATCGGTTGAAATTACCAACCGATTATCTATTACTATCTGTTGACAGCAACCAACCGACTATCGGTTATAATCGCATCATTATACTTCGCTCTATTTTATATGAAATCATGCGTTCAGCCACATTGTACATGTCTAATTTTGCATATATTCCATATCATTGCAGTTTTTTATATGTTCATGTTCATTTTCATATTTTATTTAGCAATTACAACAATGAATCAATTAGAATCCCAATTCAGATTGAACATATTTTGTCTTATAGTTGCAACATTTATTACCAACAATGACACTAAAATTTCTAAATTTTAGTTATATCACTCACATTATAATTTCAAAAACATAGCTGTATCAAAATTTGAATGCTTCTCATTAAAAAAGATGTATAAAATATCTAACCTTAAGCAATTTAGAAATAATCAATAAACAAAATGATAAATAAAACAATGTATTTGCATTGAAATATATACATTTAACTAAGGGGATCCAACCAATGTCTGTTAATTCATGTGGAATGCATATTATTCACTTTTGGGCCAAAATTAAAAAAATGGTTTGTTTGCTATAGCCCGACCAACCCGATTGAAACCCTCCCGACTGTAAAGTTTTTATTGAAAAAAAATTGTGAAGTCTTTTTTTTTATCATTTTTACGATTTTGGATTTTTTTCATTACTTTTCCGTATCCGGTCGTCTTTTTCTCTTCCACTTTGGTCCTGGTCGCAAAGGCGCTTTGAACGTTAACCTGGAAGCCTGTGTATACTCATGGTGTAAAGCACTAAATTGATTCGGATGTCAGAGGTTTCATTTGCAAATTTTGTCCAGACATGGATGCTTTGTTTTAAATAAATGAATGCGAGCTCACCCATGACGATGAGCAAAAATGTTAGGCTCTGTGTTTCTGCTGTGTTTGAGGGAAATCCCTGAGTCTGGTTTCATCAGTGGTCGACTCAATAAGTTGTATATTTGTGTGTTATTTATGCTTTTTTGTTTTATTTCGTATGTTATATTGGACCATACAACGGTTGTCTTTGGATAGTAGTTGATTTTTATACGAGCTCAGTATCATATTGTGTTCTGAAAAGTCGAGCGGACTATACCAGCTTATGCTTTGATAATAGTTCTTGTAAATTTTTATTTCTTGTATAAGATATAATGGGCTAATGATTAAATATGTTCACACATTGAGGGTTTTTGTGAAATAAGATTCCAGTGTTTCATTATTTTATTTTTTAGTTTCTGTATAGATGGGTTGAATTTTGTTAATATTACTAGTGGTTGTTCCTGTTTCGTTGGGCGTTGTATAAGCAAATGTTCCCTTTCTGTATTTTGTGTTTGATAAAAAATCGTTGATTTCAGATATTTTACATCCTCGTTTGAGGAAACATATTTTAAAAGCTTCCAACTGTTTTTTAAGTTCAGTTTGCTGCTTTTATTTCTGATGTATCTCAATACTTCACCCTTGATAAATCCTTTGAAAACACTTTTTAAGGTGTGAGCTTTGTCTGTGCAGATATTGAAATGTTTCAGTTGGTTTGAAATGGGTTATATTCTGGTGGGTTTCAACCCACCCCCACTGAAAAATTGTCATTTTAAGTCTATTTTTCGATTTAAATACAACCTTGAGAGGTGAACATTGACCAAACTGTGTTTCCTTGTCATTCAAATATTACCTTATAGTTACAGCAGTCTAACCAGACTGACTGGAAGTATATGTGACTTGAGTGCCTTGCTGGGGAATTATTATTGGCAAGCCAGGTCTGCCTAAATGTCCGTTTATACAGATTTCTGACAAAATGTAGACCTAAATTTTACAGACTATATTATACCTCCTTGTGTTCCTGTACCACCTATGCATGTATTTATGATAATAGTTAATACCTACAGTCCATACCAGTAACATAGTGGCCATCAAAAGACTCCCACCCCACCTGATTTTGGATACTTTTTACGTTTTTCCGATTTTGAACTCTAAAAAGGCCTTTCAGTTGTCATATTTTAATAAACAAACATCTGGGAAGAGTTTTTGGACCAACAATTACATGATTGCACTCATTGCTGTCAAGACAGTTCAGCTGGGGCAGTTCTTAAGGAATGGTTGGTTGCAATCACGACTACAGGCAGGATTGGGGACCAAGGGATTAAATAGTCCATTATATTTTCCAAAAAACAAAAAAACCCTACCTACCGACCCAATCTTTTTTATGGAACTCGGACTATGGCAAACCAACATTTTTTTAAATGTGGCCTTGTGATGATTATTCCAGGGCTTCCAAAAAATATTTTAGCCAACCGGACATTTTTTTTTTTGTCTTATCCCGATTTCAATCCCTTAAGACTTAGTAATAAAAGGCAACCACAGTAATCAGTTGGGCATCATATAAATTATGATCGACACAAAAACAATATTTAACATGATTTTTTTATATAAATTCGATGTTCTGGCATTAACTGTTAAATTGATAGTGCACCATTCGAAGTGTGCAACATCAGCGTACTAATATCTGCCTTAGACTCTTTATTTGTGCAAAAATACGCTGTCAATAACTTCACTTTCGTTTTTAAAAAAGTACATTTTCCTAATACCGGATGTTGACTTGACAATGGTAAAACACGGACCAGAGACGGATACGTAAAATCCATGTACGTTTACAAAGCACGATTGAGTTTAAGTAACTCTTTCCGCGTTATTTCTTCAGGAAAATACTTGAAATGAACGTTAGATAAAGGTATCAATGATATTTTTAGCCTTTTTGAAAATTGGGATGCATAATTAAATCTGCGCACATGTGCACGAGTGCACAAGTTCAAACAGCGTGGTTCTGACGATTTTTCACTTAAAACCTTTTATTACTACCTTTTTAAATTTTCACCAAATCATATTTATTTACGTTTTCTGATAATCTAAATTTTGTTGACTAAATTAATTAGATGCAAACTGCTGAAATTTAAGAAAATAACTTTCAATAGACCAATCAATGTCAGGTACAAAATAGTTTACCTGTCGCCTGAACAGGTAAATTTCAGCTGTCGGAGAACTAATTAAACTTGATTTTAAAGTAGGGTTTGTTTTGATAGTAATTATTCATCATGTCACTTATATGACCGGAAATGTGTGGCTGTTTAAGCCAAAAGGTCAGGTCAAAAAGATCGCAGAAACTTCAATTTTTTTTTCTGAACTATGTTAAAATGTCCGTTTCAGCATCAGCACAACAAGTCATTTGTATAATTTATCGGACAAGTCCGGAAAATACGACCGTTTTGGAAGCCCTGGATTATTCTTCTGTCAGCTGTGTCACTCGTCCGTCTGTACTTATAGTCATAAGAATACAGAATTCTTTCATAGTTGGTCCGTATCTGATCAATATATTTGTACAAACCGGTAAAATTTACAAAAATAAACAATGTTTGACAAGCAATTTGGAAAGGAAGCTGACGTTTTTAATGCAACAAATGGATGAAACTTTAATAAAAGGCAATTTGTAGCACATTCTAATGTAGCAACAAATTTATTTTGTACGCTATCGAGTAACAAGTACTGGAAGTGAAAGAAAGTATTTCATGAAAATTTATTTATTTTAAATAACATACGGTCAATCTGACTGTAAAGTCAATGCTTTTACCACGTCTAGAAAGAAAGAAATTGCTTATGTCTTTGATTATAGGATGTTTGACATTGTTATTGTCATCTACTGATATTTTTTATTACAATTTGAACAAAATCACAATCAATTATCGACATCGCAAAGCCCAACCTACTGATTTCCGACCTATTCCGATCATCGGAACAACACTACTGCTATAATTTGTGTTTATGATTTTATATAGGTGAAGATATTGTATGTTAGAAACTTGATGTTGGACACAACAGAAGAGACATTGCATCAGGTCTTTACCAAGGCTTGTGGGAGGGAAAACAGTGTGGAAAGAGTAAAGAAAATCAGAGATTATGCCTTTATCCACTTCAGAGAACGAGAGGATGCTTTAAAAGCCCTGAACATGACAAATAGTATGTTAAAAAATATATTTACTTAGTTTTCTCAATTAAATTGTTTCACATTTTTCATGTCAGAGCCTTTTATAGCCAACTATAGGGTATGCTTTTTTTCTCATTGTTGAAGGCCATATGGTTGCTTATAATTGCTAACATCCACTTCATTTGAACTTAGGTGGATAGTTGTCTCATTTGCAATCATAACACATCTCATTATTTTTATATTTAAGTACAGGTAATAGTTAATACATGTATAGTTACAAAATGTATATGGCATATTTTTTTTAGAAAATATGAAATTTATACTACATGTAGTACCAATACTTCCAACCCATAACAACATAGTCTTAACCTTTTTTAGCATTGCATTATTAAGAAATAAAACAGTTATCAGTTTTTTACAATCAGCATTTGGTTTTGCAATATGATACATATGTATTATGAGTCCAAGGGTATTTCCTTTGTCTGTAGAACAATATCTTTCACTAAATTGGAATTGGAAGGGTATAGGGTATCTGTTACAAAACTATTTAATTTTTTTTACTTCAGATCAGAGTATTGATGGGTCAAAAGTGGAAGTAGTTTTAGCCAAGCCAGTGGATAAGAATGACTATAGGATTTATGCAAGAGGCAAAACAGCATTACAACAGGTAAATACAGGAGATAATTATGAATATTATATAGGGTGCAGTCAAATAAGACCTGTATGAAGTTGACTGAACAGCTAATGTTTTGTAAAACAGCAACCAAAAGGTAAACCTAGAGATTAATCTTCAACACTTGTCCCCCTCCATCCTCCCTGTATATTGCTGTTAATAAATATATAGGGCCTATGGTACCAATAACCAAGTCACCATTCCTTTGAAGCCTGAACCAAATGCTTAGAAGAAGTTACAATGCGCATGAAGCATCTGTTCTACACTAATCAGAGATCAGTAAAGGGGTTAAGACATGCCAACTGTTTATTGTATAAAGTTATAAACTGAACAAACACAAGTTTGGGAGAAAGAACCACAGTTTAATGTTATCTTTGCGTATCAATAAAGCAATTAACATATTTACAAACAAAGCAAAATCAAGTTGCATAAGTGAAACATTTGAAATCAATGTGCAATTGTGTGAATTGATATTTATTTCAATTGGAATTGGAACTATACCCAAATATTAAAGTGCATAAATTTACACAAATGTACACAGTTTAAATTTTGCAGTGAGGCTAAAAGATATCTAATATTATTGTATTTTCCAGTCAATACATGTATATTTCTAGGGTTTCCTAAAATTAGATTAAAAAGGACCGTTGAGCTGTTGGCATTACTTGTAAATTTTTTTGTAGTACCATATTGTCTTTCAAACATTCAGATTTTGCAACGTACTGTATTAGATTTATTTTTTATTTCCCCTTTGCTCCCTTTGCAAGTTTTCAATATACATTTAATTAGTAGGGAACTCTTTGGTAAATATTTCAGGATGAACAAGACAGTGATATTGAGGAGCTTTCAGAAGCATTGTCTCTGTTACAGGTGCTATGTTTTGCATTATTGTTCTAACAAAATTGCATGGTGTTAAATATTTTAATTGCTTTTAGTTTTAACTTCACAAAGAATGGTTACATTTTGGTCACAAAGTTTAATTATATTTGTCCGTATTATTATGAATAAAAGGAGATATGGAGGTAGTGTGCTTTAAAGTCTATGATAGACATTACACTGTTTGCCATTGACATAATATGAGTTGGAGTTATTTCCCTTGGTCACCATGTTGGAAAGAAAACTGGTTGATTTTCTTATTTGACTAACCAAATTTTAATATGTGGTATTTGTGAGCAAGCCTTACTAAAGCCTTATAAATCCAAGTAATGAATTATTCCAATCTTAGATGAATGAAAATTGTTCTGAAGTCTGGGGTCAACATAATAGGTTGACTTTGGTTGATCAATTGTGAACGAATTTGTGGACTTTGCCTTTCAACAATGTGGCAAGGGAAAGAATCACATGTAACTCAAATTATTTCTGAGTATGGAAAACTGTTTGTGTCTTTATAACATAAATATATCTAGCTGTTTTAAATACATCTGTCCAGTCCATCCATTTGAAATTTAATTTTATGTGATAACAGATTATTTTTTATCTGGCTGAACTTATTGATTACACTTAACTAATAGGCCAAAAAATGTATATGTGTGTTAACGATTATATCCATGAAAATTATAGGTTGGTCGTCATTTCATTTTATATTGTTCAGGGAATACAGTCATAACATGATCACAAATTTCATTGTTTACAGTAGTTTAAAAGCAGAAAAGTACTTAATTTAGAAAGAGAAATTTTCAAACAAATTATTTATATGTTTTACATTATTCAATACAATTTCCACAAATTCATTTCATCTTTTTCATCAATTCTTTTAGATTCCAAACTATACCTGATTGTTCTCCTTTCATTATGAGAACCACTGTAAGATTGTTTTTATACAGGATTTTCATGCCACTTAGGAAGATATTGCCTAATCATTAATTTTCCAAAAATAAAATAAAATGGTTCAGAGTCAGTGATAAGAATTAGGCTTTGCTGGGCAACTGTAAACACATGTATATACTGTTTTTGCCTTGCAGTGTATGGCAGATGATGCATATTTTTTTAGTTGATAAAACCAAATAAAATGTACATATACAGGGAATTGAACAATCACATTTATGTATATGATTGGATTATCTAACATTTAAACTCTGTTAAATAATGTTACAACAATCTATTTTTATATTATAATCTATGTATGTAAATACTAAAAAAAATATTGTATCTTGTTTTTACATGGTTTGGATAAAACAGTTAGCAACATAATTTGTCCAAGAATGCAAGAGCTGTTTACATTTACAATATCGCATTATTAAGTCTCCCAAACGAAGTTTGGGAAGACTTATTGTTTTTGCTCAGTTCTTATTATTATTATTATTCTTCTTCTTCTTCTTCTTCTTCTTCTTCTTCTTCTTCTTCTTCTTCTTCCGCCGCTTTTAAATTTGAACTTGTCCGCACCCGTTCTCCAAAACCGCTTGTCGGATTAACTTAGGGTTTCACAATATGTTAGACTAACATGTCTAGTGGTGCAATCAGGGTTTTGTTTTTGCAATGGGGTTTATAAAGGGGTACTTTGAGGGGCAAAAAGAAAAGAGGGTTTTACTATAGAACCCTATGGGATTTTATTTTTTAAAATTTTCAAATGATTATAAATTGAAAACCGTTCGTGATAGACACAAACTTTTTAATTGAAAATGTTCTAAATGATAAAGCCCATTAAATGAAATACAGGGTTAGTCCCCAGGGGTCACCCCCACCCCCTGCCATTTAAGAAAGTTCTAATACCTTGTAAGTGGTCAAGATCCCCACCCCTAAACCATATATATTCTGGTTTGTCATGCTAAGATGGTTTGAATGATATACAGGGTTAGTCCCCAGGGGTCATCCCCACCCCCTATCATTTGAGAAAGTTCTAATATCTTGTAAATGGTCGAGATCCCCACCCCTAAACCATATAGATTCTGGTTTGTCATGATAAAGCACATCAAATGTAATACAGGGTTAGTCCCCAGGGGTCACCCCCACCCCTGCCATTTAAGAAAGTTCTAATATCTTCTAAGTTGTCAAGATCCCCACCCCTAAACCATATATATTCTGGTTTGTCATGCTAAGATGGTTTGAATGATATAAAGGGTAAGTCCCCAGGGGTCATCCCGATCCCCTGCCATTTGAGAAAGTTCTAATATCTTGTAAATGGTCGAGATCCCCACCCCTAAACCATATATATTCTGGTTTGTCATGATAAAGCACATCAAATGAAATACAGGGTTAGTCCCCAGGGGTTACCCCCACCCCCTGCCATTTAAGAAAGTTCTAATATCTTGAAAGTGGTCAAGATCCCCACCCCTAAACCATATATATTCTGGTTTGTTATGCTAAGATGGTTTGAATGATATACAGGGTTAGTCCCCAGGGGTCATCCCGACCCCCTGCCATTTAAGAAAGTTATAATATCTTGTAAATGGTCGAGATCCCCACCCCTAAACCATATATATTCTGGTTTGTCATGATAAAGCACATCAAATGTTATACAGGGTTAGTCCCCAGCAGTCACCCCCACCCCTTGCCATTTGAGAAAGTTCTAATATCTTGTAAATGGTCGAGATCCCAACCCCTAAACCATATATATTCTGGTTTGTCATGATAAAGCACATCAAATGAAACACAGGGTTAGTCTCCAGGGGTCACCCCCACCCCCTGCCATTTAAGAAAGTTCTTATATCTTCTAAGTGGTCAAGATCCCCACCCCTAAACCATATATATTCTGGTTTGTCATGCTGAGTTGGTTTGAATGATATACAGGGTAAGTCCCCAGGGGTCATCCCGACCCCCTGCCATTTGAGAAAGTTCTAATATCTTGTAAATGGTCGAGATCCCCACCCCTAAACCATATATATTCTGGTTTGTCATGATAAAGCACATCAAATGTTATACAGGGTTATTCCCCAGCGGTCACCCCCACCCCTTGCCATTTGAGAAAGTTCTAATATCTTGTAAATGGTCGAGATCCCCACCCCTAAACCATATATATTCCGGTTTGTCATGATAAAGCACATCAAATGAAATACAGGGTTAGTCTCCAGGGGTCACCCCAACCCCCTGCCATTTAAGAAAGTTCTAATATCTTCTAAGTGGTCAAGATCCCCACCCCTAAACCATATATATTCTGGTTTGTCATGCGAAGATTGTTTGAATGATAGACAGGGTTAGTCCCCAGGGGTCATCCCGACCCCCTGCCATTTGAGAAAGTTCTAATATCTTGTAAATGGTTGAGATCCCCACCCCTAAACCATATATATTCCTATTTGTCATGTCTTGAACATTTGAATGACGTATACGGTCAGTCCCCAGGGGTTCCCCCCACCCCCAATGTTCTAATATCTTGTAAATGGTTGAGATCGCCACCCCTTAACCATATATATTCCTGTTCGTCATGTAATGAACATTTGAATGACGTATAGGGCCAGTCCCCAGGGGTTCCTCCCCACCCCCAATATTCTTGTATCTTGTAAATGGTTGAGATCTCCACCCCTAAACCATATATATTCTGGTTTGTCATGCCAAGATGATTTGAATGATATACAAGGTTAGTCCCCAGGCATCACTAATGCATATAACTTTACTTGACCAAACCAATTTTCACTGGACGTTGCCCAATGTCAGGCGACCCTGGGAATTTCGAATTATGGGAGCTTCGTTTGGGAGACTTCGTAACAGCATCCTGTTACAATCATTTCTTGTTTTCTACAGATTTTGGCCAAAAAATGGAAACTAGTATTCATGATGTCTTTTAATGAGAAAAACCTGTTGTGTTAGAAAGATTTGTTGAATATTTTTTTATACCCCCGCTTTAAAAAAGTGGGGTTATACTGTTTTATCTCTGTCTGTCCATCCGTCCATCCGTCCATCCATCCGACCGTCAGTCCGTCCATCCGTCCCATGAATATTTTTCGTCGCATCTTTCTCAGGAACTACACTAAAAGGATTTCTGAAATTTAGTATTAGGGTTTATATAAGTCAGCTATACTGTGTGATGCGTTTTCAGATTCATCACTCAACAACTTCCTGTTTACGGTCAAGTATTTGGGCAGGGTATCATCAGTGAGCAGTAGCTCACAGTTTCACTTGTTGTTGTTTAAATAGAGTTGTAGAGTGAATCACTAACAATGACAAGCATTCATCATGAATAATTACCGCTAGAGATATTTTAACTGCATCATCTTGTGTAAATACTGAAAATGAAAATACTAATTGGTAGTCTGAAGTATTGCATGTACTGTTTTTTCCATTGACTAATTTGCATGTTTTCAAGCATGAATATATTGTTACTTTTAGCTCACCTGGCCGGCCATAAGGTCATGAGAGCTTTTGCCATCACTTGGCATCTGTCATCTTTGTTTTAAATTTTTTCAAAGATCTGCTCCCCTGAAACTTCTGAACCAAGTTCAACAAAACTTGGAGTGGGATGAATGATCCTTAGGGTATCTAATATAAAGTTTGTGTGTTTTCCAGGAGTCCGTCAACAAACATGGACGTCTATTCTTTTCGGACCATGCGAGCTATTGCCATCTTTTGGCATCTGCCATCTTCGTCACTGCTTGTTAACTTTTCTTTTCATAAACAAAAGGGTCAAACTTTTTCTCTGCATAAATAAAAGGGTCAATCTGGACTAACTTGGCTACAATCACCCGTAAGGTGTCTTAGTTTAAAAATTATGTTGCTTATTTATACCTGATTAACACTGATCAAAGAAATGTGATGATTTTTTTGTTAAGGTAGTTCACCTTGATCAGCATTTCAAGATGTATAAATCAAATGATTGAAAACTTCAATTGACCCCTAAATTCTTTATACTTCTAGGAGTGATTGCCCTTAAATGCAGCTGTTTTTTACCAATTTTTGTGTTTTTGGAATCTTATTTCTATAATAGAAAGATGGAGACTGTAACGAGCAAAGATGATCAGCCACATAAGATCTACAACTAAGTTACATGACAGAATAAACATCAAAATTTGACTCCTTTTATGAGATATTGCCCTTCAGTGGTAATTTTCTTATTATTTTTTTTCATGGCTATCATCTTGAAAACTTAATTAGATAGACAGAAACTGTTAGCAGAAAAAATTTATCAGCAAGACAAGATCTACATATAGTCAATATGAAATTTATCTTCAATACACTACTGAATATAGGATTTATTGCCCTTTAATCATTTTTTTTCAACCAATTTAACATTTTGACTTTATATCTTGAAAACTTAAACAGATATATGAAACTTTCAGTAAACAAAATTGAAATTGGTTGTAACATTCCTTAGGGTCACATGTGAGGCGTCTGAAGGCTCTTGGACACTTAAGTTAATTAGTCAATAGACATTTAAGTGGACAAAATCTTGTGTTTCTTTCAGAACATTTTCTTTAGAATATAAAAATTGTATGCTACAAAAAGTTACAGGTATAATATATTTTTTGGATGAATTTGGTGGAACAAATCATTTTATTCACATTAAGTTATTCAATTATTCAAAAGCTTTTTTGTTTTATGATTTAACTGAAGAATAATTAAGAATTGAATATTGCCAACAGAATTTAAAATTAATTATATTCCTTCCATTACAGGCTTACGGTGCTTACACTACAGGAATGTATGGTGATGCTTCATCAGTTTTAGGATCAATGTATCCTCCAGGAGTACAAGGTGTACAAGGAATTGCAAGGTTTATATTAATCTCATAAATTCTATCTAAAATTTAACATATTGTTATATAGTTAAGTAATAGAAAATTGTTACAGGATTTGATACCTGATTTTACTTGTTGAACGCTGAGGTTGTAATGTTGTACTTGCCCCCTGAATTGGATGATCCAAAATTATTATAAATTTACTAAATAGCAGCTTTCATATAATCATGAGACAGTAGTCTGCTGGAAATCATTATTTATACTTGCCAATTTTGTTCTACATAAGCTCTAGGGTTCATTACCTTTAGCAAAAACTGCCAAAATAGCTTCAGTATGAGATCTTGTCATTAACATTTAGACATGAGCAATTAAGCTTTGTGTAAAAAGATAATTTGCTACAAAATGAATTTTACAAAGATGTTAATTTGTGTCAAATATCTATTTTGGTAAAGCTGTTGCTCGTATACATTTTGACCAAAAAGTATGCCTGAAATGGCTATTTTAGGTCAGAACCGTATCGCTTTGGCAAAAGATGTGCGAAAAAAGAAAATTGACCCAGGGGATACCCTTAATATATTCTTTAAATGTTGAAGAATTCTTTGCTCTTGTACGATTTTACTGCAAAGCCTGTAAGTTACTTTTCTTAAAATCTGGCTAACCCTAGGATAGAGAGGTAAAGATAACACATTTGATCCTCTTATCTGGGATTAAATGTCAGCCAGAATAATTGTTCTTTCTCATTAAAACGTTTTTATTGTTTCATTACAGGGGATTCACAGGTCGAACAGCTGTTGGAATTAGAGGGGCTATGAGAGGTAGAGGAAGAGGGGCAGCAGGAGCAAGGGGAGCAGGTGTCCTTAGATATGGAATGATTGGTGCTGGATTTTCTGGCAAGAAATACCCATCAGAGGTATACTTCTTTTCATCCACCATTTTATATTGAAAGGTTAATGTTAGGCATGAGGTGTTCTTAGTTAATTTTTTAAATGTTCGATCACTTTCCTTTATTGTAATAGCACTTTCATGTAGACTCTAGATTCTAAAAGGCCAGCAAGTATTGTTGACATTCTGTTTTATAGGTTTTTTTTGTGATTTTTAAATAGATATTGAACATTTAACACTTTAACTTGATTATAAGTGTTTCACTCTTTAACTGCAGTCCATTATGAAATTTGACACATTTGTGTCATGACATTCTACCTGCTCTGGGAAAGCTACAGTCAATGTTTTTAATGCATGTTATTGAATAAAAAAGAATATAATCCTTTTAGATTTTTGCAAGTCACAAATTTGACTTATAACAATTTTAAAAATCCATGTACATTTCCTTTTCTCTCATTTGACTATATGTATATGTAATTTGAAATATTGCATGTATGTTCGATAAGGTTGAAAGAGTGAAATATTTATATTCAAGTCACAATATTAAATTTTAAGCACAAAAATAACAAACAGAACTTTTTGTTGACTTTTTCCTCTAGTTAAGTAGGAATTGTTCATTCAAAAGCATAAAGATGTTTTTATTCAATATAACTTATATTCTGTAGAGTTAGATCTATCAGAATTCAGTAAATTAGAAAACAATTCAAACAAGACAAAAATTAACTATAAAATTTACAATAGATTAATTTAATATTTAAGTTTGGACTTTAAAAATATTTGTAAAAGCTTCACTGAACACACTATAATCATAATAATTGAGGAAGTGGCACTATAATTCTTGCATGACTAACAACCACTAACATTTGTAGGATCTTCTAGTTGATCTAATGCCTGGCATGGAATTGACACCTACTAACCCAGTAACTCTTAAACCACAAAGTTATAAACTACCAACCCAGGTAAAACAATTTTATTGTTTCCCATTTACTGGTCTCATTACTCTATAGTTACATTCATTACTTAGATATGACTTTTATTATCTTGTATGTGTTCTCTGAATTTCAGGATTTTTTCATTTTAACAAATTGAATTTTGGCTTATAAGAACGGCTGGCCCATACCATAGTAATCTATTGCCTCTACTTGTGTGACTGTAATCTGTTGTAAACATCTTAAGAAATTGTCTCCTGTAGGGACCCTGGCCCCCCCCCCCCCCCCCCCCCCATAAAAAAAAGAAAATCGCACAGACTGAAAAAAAAAATTGGGCATTTTTATAAGTTTTCCCTAATCAACAGGTCTTTATGTAAAATATCCTGTTTTGGGTCTATGCGCAACAGTAGACAGAGTTTAGATTTTGGCAGTATGATATTGATCGTTCAATGGTTCTATAATTATGCCCCTTTATAAATTGGAAAATTGCAAATTTTTCAGTTTCTGCACTCTTAACTTTAGTTTGTCTCATCCAAATTTTATCCAAGTCATACACAATGTTAAGAACCACAACACACAAAAAGAGTTTAAATTTGGGCAGTGAGCCATTTACCATTCTAGAATCGTGCTCCTTTTTAAGTTAGAAAATTGCAAAGCTTGAGTTGGGGCATTTGTGTCCTCAGACACATTCTTCTTTTATTTATGCAATTTTGCATCCATATTTCATTTGTGGGAGCCTCTTTAGTTACTGTCATAATCTCACTAAATGCAAAGTTTTCTTGTGTATTCACTTACTTTTACTTATTATGTTAATATTAATTTGCACTGATTTTAAGCAAAATTTGGGCCTAATTCCCCTTCTTTTACAAAATATTTAAGAAAAATTCTGAGAATCCTGTAAAAGGCCAGTTGCAGAAAAGGTTTAAAGGAATGTTTCATTTATGATTGTTATTTGGATTCAAAATTGATGAACTCAAACCTCAACAATCATACTAACCACTATTTATTGTAGATTTTCACTTAGCTTGATAAAAAAATCTAAAAGTTTGAAAAAAAGAAAATGTTGTAAAGTTTGGATATTAAAGGTGTCCATACCATCTCCAAACATTTTGAAAAGAATTAATTTAGATATAAAAAGATGTGATATGAGTCCCAATGAGACAACTCTCCATCCAAGTCACAATTTGTAAACCATTATAGGTCAAAGTACGGCCTTGAACACGGAGCCTTGGCAAAAGCAAAAGTTCTGAATCTTTAATTCAAAAATTTCATTGAATGGTCAGCTAATGTATAATGGGGAAACGGGGCTACTAATGTAGTGTAAAGGAACTAATTTTATTTGCACATATCCATGCCTAGATCACTGTGCAAAAAAATATTTGATATTGTAACACACAGATACTTATTTAAAACTGTTGTAATCAAATGAAAATGATGGTTAGAATTTTTTTTTCAAATGGAAGCTGATAAATGTTGATTTTTTTCTTATTATTAACATATGTATCAGTTTTCTATCTAAAGTTGTGTATGTGCAGTAGAAATTTCCTTTTTGAGAAAGTAAGGTTCCTCATATAAAATTTTGGATATGCTTTGCTTTTAGGGAGTCATACATTAGTGACTACTTGAAACCAAAGCAAAGTAAATCATGGTTTGTTATAATAAAGGTTACATCACTTTAAATAAGAAAATGGGTACTTTTCTTTTTCCAAAATATTATATATATAGGGAATCAAGGGGGAAGCAGTCTTGAAATAACATGACTATAGGTTAACATAAACTATTGAGTAGTATGGCTCAACCAATTTATGAATAAAGCATGCTATTCAGAATTATGAGTATATATTGATTCTGATTTTGGATGGTTTGCACCTGATATTTATTAATTACAAGACACCTCACAGACTTTTCGATAGATCAAATCAAAGTAATTGCTTTTTTTAGCTCACCTGGCCAAAAGGCCAAGTGAGCTTTTCTCATCACTATGAGTACGTTGTCAGTCGTCTGTCAATCAATGCAATCAAACAAGTCAAATTTTGCAGAAAAAGTTAGTAGACTGTCACTCTTCATAGGAGTGATTGCCCTTAAATAAGGAGTTCTTTACCCTCTTTTGTGTTTTGAGCAAAAACTAAAGAAGATAGAGAGAAACTAAACAGACAGAATGATCAGCAATATAAGATCAACAAAAAAGAAATTTTTGTCATGAACTCTATTCTTGTCTACTATGTTGGAGGAGTCCATTGATGATTATACACATAGACCTAGGTGAGCGACACCTGCTCTTCAGAGCCTCTAGTTTAAGCTGTTGGAAGTTAGAAGTCTTACCAGCACCATGAGGACCCTTCCATTTTTAAGAGCAGATGAAAATTGATAGGCAATACATGGGAGATAACTAAAATCTTTGTAAAGAAAATAAATAAGAACATCTATTTGTGCTAGAATTTAGCCTTACTCAGTCATTATAATTCCAATACTTTTTATTGGGGTGTGAAGTTAACTTGCTACAGCTAATGTGTAGGAGCAGACATATGGTCAGGATTGGGTTAAGAGCTATTTGGGAATTAAATTAAGATTTTTTACAATGTATTTAATATATTGTAAAATTAAAAAGACTATGTAATCAGGCTGTTAGTTTTCTCGTTTTGATTGTTTTACATTTTTCATTTCAAGCCTTTTATAGCTGACTATGCGGTATGGGTTTTACTCATTGTTGTAGGGCGTACAGTGACCTATAGTGGTTAATTTCTGTGTCAGAGTTGTCTCATTGGCAATCACACCACATTTTTATGCCCCCGCCGTAGTGTTGGGGGCATTAAGTTTTACCCTTGTCCGTCTCTAACTTGAGTTTGCCTCAACCAAATGTTATGAAACTTATACACAATGCTTATTACCACAAAACACAGATCAAGTTTGAATTTTGGTGGTGTCACTTTAACCGTTCTAGAGTAATGCCCCTTTATAAATGGGAAAATTGCAAAATTTTTATTTTCTTCTAGATATCAAGTAATTTTTAAAACTGGAGTTATCTTCCTTTGTCCATGATTATAGTTGAATCAACTACAATCAATGCTTTATACAATGCAATGTTTAATTTTGACTTCCACTGATAAAACACAGATCAAGTTGAATTTGGGTAGTGCCACTTTAACCATTATTGAGTTATGCCCCTTTATAAATCGAAAGATTGCAAAATTTTTAGTTTCCATTCTGTAACTTAAGTTTGCCCCAACCAAACATTATGAAACCTATACACAATATTCATTACCACAAAACTAAGATCAAATACAAATTTTTTGTTTCCGTTTTCTAACTTTAGTTTGCTTCAACCAAATGTTATGAAACTTATAGTTATACACAATGCTTATTACTACATAATACAGATTAAGTATGAAATTTGGTGGCAACACTTTTACCATTTTTGAGTTATGTCCCTTTATAAACAAAAAAATTGCTGAATTTTTCGTTTCCGTTCTATATTTTTAATTTGTCTCAACCAAATGCTATAAAACTTATACACAACCGTTCTAGGGTTATGCGTGTTTACAAATAGAAAAATTGCTGAATTTTTAGTTTCTGTTCTCTACTTAAGTTAGCCTCAACCGAATGTTATGAGACTTGCATACAATGCTTATTACCACAAAACTCAGATCAAGTTCAAATTTGGGTAGCGACACTTTTACCGTTCTTCAGTTATGTCCCTTTATAACTATATGATATGCAAGCGGGGGCATCATCTGTGTCCACATGTGGACACTATCCACATTTATTTTATTTTTATATGTGTTGTGAAAAGGAACAGACCCGTTACCAGATGGGTTTTAGAGAGCAAATATAGTTGATGTTTTCTCTTTAAACAAGTTATTTATTGCCTGATTAACATGACATCCCACCATGACAAATATTTAAAAGAACTAATTTGCCATGATATTCATTGAAAGTCCTAAATCTACTGTGTAAAATAATATACATGTATTGAATAAAATATTTTATGATTTTTCTTTTCTTTTGTAGATATTAGATGAATTATGTCAGAAGAATGGTTGGGGGAGTCCAGTTTATCAACTTCATTCTACCCTTGCAAATGACAACTCCCAGCTCTTCTTATACAAGGTGCTTTACTTCATGATGACTTTGTTTCAAAGAAACTGCATATGAATCCTTGTCATTTTAGCTAGCTTTTGTCATCACTTAGCATCTGTCCTTCATCCTCTGTCCTCCTGTTTCTTGTGTGTTTTCTTGTCTGGGACTCTAGGCCATTTGGAACCAAAGTTACCTTTCATCATCTTTAGGGTGACTACCAGTACTTTAAACGTTATGTCTGATGACCCTATTGTCACCTAACATGTATGTTATTACTAAATATTGCAAAAATAGTAAAATAATAATTCATTAAAAAATTCTGCGAAGGACCAGTTGATTTCAGACTTTAAGAAATTGTTATTTTTATGCCCCACCTACGATAGTAGAGGGGTATTATGTTTTTCGGTCTGTGTCCGTTCGTTCGTCCGTCTGTCCCGCTTCAGGTTAAAGTTTTTGGTCAAGGTAGTTTTTGATGAAGTTGAAGTCCAATCAACTTGAAACTTAGTCCACATGTTCCCTATGATATTAATGCCAAATTAAGAGTTTTGACCCCAATTTCATGGTCCACTGAACATAGAAAATTATAGTGTGAGTGGGGCATCCGTGTACTATAGACACACAGTGTTCTCCCCAGGATTTTTGGATAGCACCAGGGTAACACGTGTGGACTTCTTGGTGAAATATTTCATGCAATCAGTTGTGTCGCGTCGCGTCGCGTCGCTTAGCTCTAGTTACTGTAGTTTTTATGTCTCTTGTTTTGTTTTAACACTGTGGTACTGTGTTATGTAGACATTGATTCAGAAAATTATTGGTAAAAAAGAAGTAAATAAAAAACAGTTTGTATACTTTTAATATTTTTTTAAAATAAATAAATTATGATTCATAATAAAATATTCATCTGAATTTAAAGTAATTAAATCTTTTATAAAATCCAAAATCAATAAAAATAAAATATCATTCAAAGAGAACAAAAATGTTCAATTTAAAAACCTTTCTAGTTTCTAGAAAAAAAGTTGTTGTATGTGAAAGGATTCCTGTCATAAGAAGATATAAAATTAGCAAGAACAATTGCAAATATTGTTTTATTATTTGAACCAGTTTCTATCTTAGATTTTAATAAAAAGAAATTTTTCATAAATTTTTGAACATTTTGCCATAGATTTCATGTAAATATTAACCTTTCTTGTCTTTGGTGATAATCAAACATAGATACAGACTTAATACTGCCCTAAAATCTAAATCTTTATTTGTCATGATCCATTTAAAAAGAATTCCTAAATCTATAAATTTATATTTGGTCTATAGATCTATAAGTAACCATATTTAATGTCAACAACTAAGTCTCCCTATTTTCCCGCCTAAATGACAGGAAGTAGATATAAATAGATTTAACATGTGCTTATGGATAAAATTTGCAAGATTACTTCTGTTATTCATTATTTATGGATATAGATATCCAGTTTGAAGGTACAGTCATGCATTTTACTTATAAAATATAATAGATTGCAATTAATTGTAAATAAACTTGAATATTCTACGTGAACTAACTGGGTCATGTGATATGTACAGACAGATACCTACACAGTTTGAAACCCGACTATCATGCAATAACTATGTCAAAATTAAAGATAAGATTGGCCATGGTTTAATCAGAGACATATAATACTATAATATAAGAATTGGGAAATGTATAGTTGTCCATTATACGTAATGAGCCACCATTATGATGTACAAAAAAATGTACCTATCGGGTCAAAAAAACTATTTGTGTACAAAGTATTTGCCGACTTGTCACAGGTCAGTGCTTGGGTGGAGAGTGAAGCCATAAAATAGTTATCTGTGATCATAAAGTTATGAACTCTTAATTAAAACACAAAAGAATCATGTTACAAGTGTTAATTACATCGATTAAATCCAATCAACAAGGTTAACCTCATAAGCTAAATCGATCACGTGGTGTAAACAATCTGTGTTGAACTGGTTTGAACTGGTCAAATTTCACCTGGAATTTTATACCGCACGGAAAAGATTTAACAAGTCGTTTAAAACTTTACCGATTTACGATTTTTTAACTGAAAATTTTAGCACCACGGAGAAAAATTATACATAGCGGTAAGAACGATACCACCACGGTAAAAAATTATATATCGCGGGCCCGCGCTCCTTTAAGGGCCTGGGGAGAACACTGGACACATTCTTGTTTATCCAATCATTAGACTGTCTTCAAACATGACTCAAATCTTCACTAAAAATGGAAAATTACCTCCTCAAATTGAATGAAAAACCTATAAAAATTGTTTGAAAGACGAATTGCTTCCAAACTTCGGTTATATGATTAAGATTATTGGATGAACAAACTTGGGCACCACTGCTCCTAAAAAAATGAAAATTTTACTGAATAATATAAAAATCATTTGAAGGACCAGTTGTAGAATTTAGTTTTAGAATACAAATTATGATATTCTTTAGAGTTGTGGAAAATGACTCCATCTCCTTCAAACCAGGATAAAGGCATTACTAAAAATAGAAAATTTTATGCAACTTAAAAAAAAGTCCCCAAAAAATATGTGAAAGACCCATTGCTGTCTAACATAGATTAAATAAAACATTAATAATCATCATTTAAGAGTTATGTTGGTGACCCTGAGAAATTAATACAAAAAAATCTGGAACAACCTATGGTATATAAATCTATCTGTTATAAAAATAAGTTAAACTACTAATGTACAATCATAAACAAAGAAAGATAACTTCATTTCAAGATATATAATTTACCTAAGTGTGTTCCATTGCCAAATACAATTCAATATTTTAATATTAGTTCAAATTGTAAAATGAAAGCAATCTTTTCCCTTCAGACTAGTCACAAGTATTTTGAATGTGTATATCATTGTAATTGTTAAAGTACCAGTTGTCATATTAATGATAAGTTAATTTAAAAATATGATGGATAGTAATACATGGTTGTAAACTAGAAACTTATTATTTAATAAAAATAGAAATATTGAAAATTATTTTCTGAAAATCAGATTACCCCCCATGCAAACCTGAACAATTTCTTATTATACTTGTCTACACAGTATATATGTTAGACTCAGATCGACTTCCGTTACTCAAATGGACGACCAATATGACATCACGTTCTCAAATCAGTGTCCAATATTTTTACCCTCTAATCGACATCAAATGTGATGTCATGTATTACCCAAAACAACGCCCGATTGATTGGAGTCTCCACTCATCTATGTCCAATATCCTTTAATCATTTATTCTGAATTTAATCTTTGTTTATTTAACTGTATCGTTTTGTCTTTGTGTAAAGCTGCTTTTAGAAAACTAATTGATTTCATATATCTTTATACTTAACAAATCACAACTATTTAGTTGACTATGAAAGGAATAACAAAGAAGGCAGCATCCCATACCTAATAATCAACTAAATAGAAATAAAAGGACAAACATCAGTTAATGCCTATAAGAAAACACTGACATCATATTACATGTTCATGCATATTAATATTTAGGTCTACGTTATCTTATTCCTTTCATATGTATATTTAAAAATGACTTGTGGATATATGACAATGAGATATAACCCAAAGACAAAGATAGCTGAAAGACATCTAGAGGGCAATATACAGTCTCAATCAATGGACAGAATATAGAAGTACAGTCAGTTGTTGAAAAGTATTATTATTTTGACTCTGCAAGATTTAAAATTGTCTATTTGTTAAAACAACATTTGCATTCGGAAAATGCTTGTATCAAATCAGGAATGTGACAGTTTGTTTTATTAAATAAAGTTGTAACGTCATTGCAGCAAGTCCTTTAAAAGGACGTCGATTAGAGAAGCCATAAATTGGATGTTGATTTGAGAACCAAAATAAAAGGTGTCGATTAGAGGGGCATAGAATTGGCAGTTGATTTGCATTCTTACTTTATTATGACATCAGATTTGGACGTCCATTTGAGGAACAGATGTCGATTAGAGACCAGACGTCTATCCAAGTCTCAGCGCTTTTCCTATAATAAACATAACTTTTAAGAAAAGTTCACCTGACACATTTCATACTTTCTATCACTTTTGTACTAGTAACTATCAATCTGGAAACCTTCCAAAATAACAAATGTCTTTCTGCTTACACCTGGTCTAGTCACAACTTCCACAACTTTTCACTTAGATATTTTTTAAAGAAACCTTGTCATTGACATATAAAGAAAAGTCTCTAACTAATGAAAAATAAAAGAAAGAAAAATGGCAAGAAATACATGCAAAGTAAGAGGAACATAACTAATAAGGTACTGAAAATTCAAAAATAATTGCGATGTTTTTTAATGTGAATAACGTGACTGGGTTAGTGTTGCAATAACAAGAACTTGCATTCTGATATCTGATGCATATACTGTAAACTCACAAATTTTTGCGAAGGTTTTATTAATGCGAATACGTGAGTATTGCAATAACAATAACTCTTATTGTGATATTTGATACATGTAAATGAATGCAGATTTTTCTGAAAGCGCAATAATTAATTTCGCATTTTTGTCCATTTTTTTAAAAATCGCAATAATAAATGCACACAATAATTTCTGAATTTACAGTATCTGTACAAAGCTTTTCCTGAAATTGCAAAAATTAATCTCGCATTTATGACTGTTCTTCAAAAATCGCAATAAATTCTGAATTTACAGTAATATATAAAACAAGTGATAACAATTGTGATCATGTGCCTACTTAAATGCTAGTATCATATTTTCAATTCATGAATTAACTATTATTAAAATGTTCTTTTTAGGTCACTGTTCCTGCTTTCAGCACACCATTCCAGCCAAATAAGTTATCAAAGAGTATTGACACAGCCAAAAACTTTGGTGCAGAGTTTGTCCTAACTCAGTTAGGAATCCCTTATGACAGTGGTGAGTACAATCCCTTAATTCTTAAACAGCCCTAATAAATGCCATGTGAGTTTTTTTGTGAACAAATACAGGAGTGATCAATGAATTGCATGAAATTACTGGTGTTATAAAAAAAGCAATGTTTTGGCAAATTGAAAAATTATAATTATGTAATGATTTCAATTAACATCTATAGCCACAAAAAAGAAATAGTTTAAATCATTCTTTTAAATTATCAAAACAAAATAGTATGAACATGTAATCTTCTTCACAAAAAATCAAGGAAAAATGGTGACCAATGTATGAAATAAATGATTAAGAATGTTCGCTACTCTTGTTTATGACTTTTTGTCAGAAATTCGGAATCCTCTAGTTTTATCCATGTGGTGCCAATAAAAAATTGGCCAGCTTACCCCTACATTTCTTTTCATAATTTTATTACATATACTGTGAAAGCACTTTTATTCGTGGGGTACCAATATTCGTGTTTTTCGTGGATGGCTATATCCACGAATTTAAGTGTCCAACGAAATGTAACAACTGTTGTCCAAATCATGACATGGAAAGATTCCCTGTAGTTCTACTACTTTGATACGGGCATATAGTCTAGAGAAAACATTGAATATCAACAAACGCACTATGAACTATATGCAGGAGCGTACCACCAGTGTAGCATGTACAACTTCAGACAGGATTTTAATCTTTAAAATACCTAAGTTGTATGACTTTTTTAAGCTTTTAATTCTCATGAAAAATTAGTTTTGAAAGATGAAAATCAGACTTCCGGTGATGATATATGATGATGAAGTGTTCATTTTATCTTCTCATAACTCTCTCACGAAAAAAAATAATAATTTCATATTGGGCTTGCTTTTTTATTTCATACGTATTATTTCATAAGTATTAATTCAAAGTACATTTGTAGCATTTTTTATGCAAACCTTTTTCTTTAAATGACATATTTATGGCCCAATTAACACCTTTGGTGATTGTAAATCTGTTGATCATTCCATCTCAGGTTAATTAGTGTCACCACTTCTGATTACACATGTGCAACAATTAAAATTTTACTTTGCAATTTCCTTCAATCGAGATAATTTGTATTCATGGATGAATCAGCTTATTTCTGAAAGCAATTATTATACCCCACGCAACGAGTTGCGGAGGGTATAATGTTTTTGACCCGTCTGTCCGTCTGTCTGTCCGTCCGTCCGCCTGTCTGTCTGTCCCTCCGTCCGTCAGTCCGTCAGTCCTGTTTCTTGTCATCTCAACTCCTCTCAAACCACACAACAGAATTTCACGAAACCTTTTTAGATAATAAGGACATACTACGTAGATGTGCATGTTGACAGGAAATTAAGATTCAATTTTTTTTCCAGGAGTTACGCCCCTTTGAACTTATTTGCCCAATATACTACTGCAACCTTTTGTCATCGCAACTCCTCTCAAACCTCACAACAGAATTTCATGAAACTGTGTAGATAATAAGGACACACTATGTAGATGTGCATATTGACAGGAAATTATGATTCAATTTTTTTTCTGATACAATTTTTTTTCTTACACTTATTTTATTTCTCCATTGACAATGTGGGGACGTGGGGTATGTGAGCGGGCTCACTAAGGTTCTTTCATTTTATTAAAAATTTGATGAATGTTGTCAGATATGAAAGACGAACAAGTAGGTGAAAATGAACATCATATGATTATTTTCAAGAATCTTCGTTTCTGATGGGTTCAAATTCTTCACCCGAAATTGTTTTCAGAAAATTAAAGTCCACGAATTTAAGAACCCACGAACATACAACTTTTGCTCAATCCACAAAATTGATACCCACGAATAAAAGTACTTTCACAGTAGTTTAAAAAGACATTTTTGAAAATCTTATAAAATCTTTGTTATTTTTTAGAGAAAAAAGGTGCCAATGTTAAATGGATGAAATATCTAGAGAGAATCATTTCCCGCCAAATTTTCAATTGATTATTTCTCAAAAACAAGGACACGGACCAGTCATTTTTTTCTTCTTTTTAGCTCACCGCGGCCCAAAGGGCCCCATGTGAGCTTATGCCATCACTTGGCGTCCATCGTCGTCTGTCGTCGTAAACTATTTCAAAAATCTTCTCCTCTGAAACTACTGGGCCAAATACCTTCAAACTTTAACTAAATGTTCCTTAGGGTATCTAGTTTATAAATTGTATCCAAAGTTTTGATCCATAGACAAACATGGCCACCATGGCTAAAAATAGAACATAGGGGTCAAATGCAGTTTTTGGCTTATATCTTAAAAAACTTAAGCTTTTAGAGCAAATCTGGACGGGGTAAAATTGTTCAATTGGTCAAAATCTATCAGCCCTGAAATTTTCAGACGAATCGAACAACCCATTGTTGGGTTGCTGCCACTAAATTGGTAGTTTTAAGGAAATTTTGCAGTTTTTTGTTATCTTGAATATTATTATAGATAGATATAAAATGTAAATAGCAATAATGTTCAGCAAAGTAAGATCTACAAAAAAGTTAATAAGACCATAATTGTCAATTGACCCCTTAATTAGTTATTGCCTTTTAAAGACAATTTTACACAATTTGTTCATCAAGTTTGCTAACATTTAAAAAATCTTCTCCTCTGAAACTACTGGGCTAATTACCTTCAAACTTTAACTAAATGTTCCTTAGGGTATCTTGTTTATAATATGTATCCGAAGTTTTGATCCATTGACAAACATGGCCTCCATGGCTAAAAACAGAACATAAGGGTCAAATGCAGTTTTTGGCTTATATCTCAAAAACTAAAGCTTTTAGAGCAAATCTGACATGGGATAAAAATTGTTCAATTGGTCAAAATCTATTGGCCCTGAAATTATCAGACAAATCAAACAACCCATTGTTGGGTTTCTGCCACCAAATTGGTAGTTTTAACAAAATTTTGCAGTTTTTATACGACCGCAAAAAAATTTTTGTGGTCGTATATTGGTATGACGTTGGCGTCGTCGTCGTTGTCTGGCGTCGTCGTCGTCTGGCGTTGTCAGGCGTCGTCCGAAGACACATTGGTTTTCGCACTCTAACTTTAGTTTAAGTGAATGGATCTCTATGAAATTTTACCACAAGGTTCAATACCACAAAAGGAAGGTTTGGATAGATTTTGAGGGTTATGGTACCAACAGTAAAGGAATTAGGGGCCAAAAAGGGGCCAAAAATAAGCATTTTTGTAACTTCCAGACATAACTTGTGTGTTAGTGTATGGATCTCTCTGACATTGTACCACAAGGTTCCATATCACAAAAGGAATGCTGGGATCGATTTTGGGGGTAATTGCCTCTAAATTTTAGGAATTAGGGGCCAAAAAAGGGGCAATAAACAAGCATTTTTCTAGTTTCATGACAATAACTTGTGTGTAAGTGTATGGATCTTTCTGAAATTGTACTACAAGGTTCCATATCACAAAGGGAAAGCTGGAATTGAGTTTGGGGGTAATTGCCGAAACGTTTAGGAATGGGGGCCAAAAAGGGGCCAAAAATAAGCATTTTTCTAGTTTCCAGACAATAACTTGTGTTCAAGTATATGGATCTCTCTGAAATTGTACTGCAAGGTACCATACCACACAGGGAAGGCTGGGGTTGATGATGGGGGTAATTGCCTCAATATTTTAGGAATTAGGGGCCAAAAAGGGGCAAAAAACAAGCATTTTTCTAGTTTCAGGACAATAACTTGTGTGTAAGTGTATTGATCTTTCTGAAATTGTACTACAAGGTTCCATATCGCAAAGGGAAAGCTGGGTTTGAGTTTGGGGGTAATTGCCTTAAATGTTTAGGAATTTGGGGCCAAAAAGGGGCCAAAAAACACATTTTTAGCTCACCTGACCTGAAAGGTCAAGTGAGCTTTTCTCATCACTTTGCGTCCGTCGTCCTGCGTCCGTCGTCCGTCGTCCGTCGTCCGTCGTCCGTAAACTTTTACAAAAATCTTCTCCTCTGAAACTACTGGGCCAAATTTAACCAAACTTGGCCACAATCATCATTGGGGTATCTAGTTTTAAAAATGTGTGGCGTGACCCGGTCAACCAACCAAGATGGCCGCCATGGCTAAAAATAGAACATAGGGGTAAAATGCAGTTTTTAGCTTATAACTCAAAAACCAAAGCATTAAGAGCAAATCTGACATGGGGTAAAATTGTTCATCAGGTCAAGATCTATCTGCCCTGAAATTTTCAGATGAATCGGACAACCCGTTATTGGGTTGCTGCCCCTGAATTGGTAATTTTAAGGAAATTTTGCTGTTTTTGGTTATTATCTTGAATATTATTATAGATAGAGATAAACTGTAAACAGCAATAATGTTCAGCAAAGTAAGATTTACAAATAAGTCAATATAACCGAAATGGTCAGTTGACCCCTTTAGGAGTAATTGCCCTTTATAGTCAATTTTTAACCATTTTTCGTAAATCTTAGTAATCTTTTACAAAAATCTTCTCCTCTGAAACAACTGGGCCAAATTAAACCAAACTTGGCCACAATCATCATTGGGGTATCTAGTTTAAAAAATGTGTGGCGTGACCCGGCCAACCAACCAAGATGGCCGCCACAGCTAAAAATAAAACATAGGGGTAAAATGCAGTTTTTGGTTTATAACTCAAAAACCAAAGCATTTAGAGCAAATCTGACACAAGTAAAATTGTTTATCAGGTCAAGATCTATCTGCCCTGAAATTTTCAGATGAATCGAACAACCTGTTGTTGGGTTGCTGCCCCTGAATTGGTAATTTTAAGGAAATTTTGCTGTTTTTGGTTATTATCTTGAATATTATTATAGATAGAGATAAACTGTAAACAGCAATAATGTTCAGCAAAGTAAGATTAACAAATAAGTCGACATGACTGAAATGGTCAGTTGACCCCTTTAGGAGTTATTGCCCTTTATAGTCAATTTTTAACAATTTTTCGTAAATCTTAGTAATCTTTTACAAAAATCTTCTCCTCTGAAACTCCGTGGCCAAATTAAACCAAACTTGGCCACAATCATCATTTGGTTATCTAGTTTTAAAAATGTGTGGCGTGACCTGGTCAACCAACCAAGATGGCCGCCACGGCTAAAAATAGAACATAGGGGTAAAATTCAGTTTTTGGCTTTTAACTCAAAAACCAAAGCATTTAAAGCAAATCTGACATGAAGTAAAATTGTTTATCAGGTCAAGATCTATCTGCCCTGAAATTTTCAGATGAATCGGACAACCCGTTATTGGGTTGCTGCCCCTGAATTGGTAATTTTAAGGAAATTTTGCTGTTTTTGGTTATTATCTTGAATATTATTATAGATAGAGATAAACTGTAAACAGCAATAATGTTCAGCAAAGTAAGATTTACAAATAAGTTAATATAACCGAAATGGTCAGTTGACCCCTTTAGGAGTAATTGCCCTTTATAGTCAATTTTTAACCATTTTTCGTAAATCTTAGTAATCTTTTACAAAAATCTTCTCCTCTGAAACAACTGGGCCAAATTAAACCAAACTTGGCCACAATCATCATTTGGTTATCTAGTTTTGAAAATGTGTGGCGTGACCTGGTCAACCAACCAAGATGGCCGCCACGGCTAAAAATAGAACATAGGGGTAAAATTCAGTTTTTGGCTTTTAACTCAAAAACCAAAGCATTTAAAGCAAATCTGACATGAAGTAAAATTGTTTATCAGGTCAAGATCTATCTGCCCTGAAATTTTCAGATGAATCGGACAACCCGTTGTTGGGTTGCTGCTCCTGAATTGGTAATTTTAAGGTGATTTTGCTGTTTTTGGTTATTATCTTGAATATTATTATAGATAGAGATAAACTGTAAAAAACAATAAATGTCGGCAAAGTAAGATCTACAAATAAGTCAACATGACCGAAATTGTCAGTTGACCCCTTTAGGAGTTATTGCCCTTTATAGTCAATTTTTAACCATTTTTTCGTAAATCTTAGTAATCTTTTACAAAAATCTTCTCCTCTGAAACTACTGGGCCAAGTTAATTATAGATAGAGATAATTGTAAGCAGGAAAAATGTTCAGTAAATTAAGATGTACAAACACATCACCATCACCAAAACACAATTTTGTCATGAATCCATCTGCGTCCTTTGTTTAATATTCACATAGACCAAGGTGAGCGACACAGGCTCTTTAGAGCCTCTAGTTCTAGTTTCCAGACAATAACTTGTGTTCAAGTGTATGGATCTCTCTGAAATTGTACTGCAAGGTACCATACCACAAAGGGAAGGCTGGGATTGAGTTTGGGGGTGAAGAATCATAAGGGGGTTCAAAAAATTTGGGGGGGGATTTTTTTTTTTTCCTTTTTTTTTCTTTTTTTCCTTTTTTTCTTGTTATTTCTGATTTATATTTAAAAGCAAATAATAATGATATGGTAGGAGATACACACCAAACAGGATGTTTAAATTATTATATTATAAGTATTGTGCAATAGCAAGAAATTTTCAATTGCACAGTATTGCACAATAGCAAGAAATCTTCAATTGCACAGTATTGCGCAATAGCAAGAAATCTTCAATTGCACAGTATTGCGCAATAGCAAGAAATATCCAATAGCACAATATTGCGCAATAGCAAGAAATTGTCAATTGTACAGTATTGCGCAATAGCAAGAAATATTTAATTGCACAGTATTGTGCAAAAGAAGATACTTCATATAAATTGCTTATTTCTTGACCAATTTCAATGGGGTTTTATTCTTGAATTCTTGGGGTTCTTTAATATGCTGAATCTAACCGTGTATTTAGTTTTTGGATTTTGGGCCCCGTTTTTAAATTGGTCCACATTGAGGTCCAAAGGGTCCAAAATTAAACTTTGTTTGATTTCATCAAAAATTGAATTATTGGGGTTCTTTGATATGCCGAATCTAACCGTGTATTTAGATTCTTAATTTTTGGTTCCGTTTTTAAATTGGTCTACATTAAGGTCCAAAGGGTCCAAAATTAAACTTAGTTTGATTTTAACAAAAATTGAATTCTTAGGGTTCTTTGATATGCTTAATCTAAACATGTATTTAGATTTTTGATTATGGGCCCAGTTTTCAAGTTGGTCAAAATCGGGGTCCAAAATTAAACTTGTTTGATTTCAACAAAAATTGAATATATGGGGTTCTTTGATATGCTGAATCTAACCATGTATTTAGATTTTGGATATTGGACCATAAAAGGTGAATATCCAATTTAAAATTTTTAAGTTCTTAGACCACATTCATTCTGTGTCAGAAACCTATGCTGTGTCAAATATTTAATCACAATCCAAATGCAAAGCTGTATCAAGCTTGAATGTTGTGTCCATACTTGCCCCAACTGTTCAGGGTTCGACCTCTGCGGTCGTATCAAGCTGCGCCCTGCGGAGCATTTTATTATTTGTTATTATCTTGAATATTATTATAGATAGATATAAACTGTAAGCTGCAATAATGTTCAGCAAAGTAAGATCTACAAAAAAGTTAATCTGACCAAAATTGTCAATTGACCCCTTAAGGAGTTATTGCCCTTTAAAGACAATTTTACACAATTTGTTCATCAAGTTTGCTAACATTTAAAAATCTTCTCCTCTGAAATATAGGTGAGCGATAAAATATGTAGCATATTCGGTATATCAATACTATATTACTTAGACAAGATAAAATAATTAAAAATACTCAAGAAGTGAAGGTATTGATAAAAAGATAGAAAGCAGTAGTCATTTGTTCTGACTACATTTTAACTGTAGTAAATTTAAAGGTGCAATAAGCATTCATCATATTGCAACTTTGTTAACCTTCTCTCCTGCTCCCTAGAAAAAAAGTTCTGATCACTAGCATCAAATGCAAGTTTTAATCGGTTGGAGGTCGATTGTTAGATCATGATAGAAAAAATATATGTGCAGTTAGATTAAATTGAATAACTGGTCAGAACAAAAAAATAACAAGTTTCTAGTTATATCAAGTGGCACGAGAAAAGGAAAAAAAGATTCTGCTATGAAAAATATCTTAACATCAAACAATGAACTTTTGTTTACAAATACTGAATAACATAAGAATTTTACGTATAATTGTCATACATGTACAAAATGTATCTTGTATTCCAGATGCAGCTAATCTTGCCACAAGCATGTACCAGGGAAGACCAATAGGTCCAGCAGGCTATGCCATAGCAAATGGTTTGCCAAGATCAGATGTTCCATATGCAACAATACCAATGGTAACAAGTGCTCCTCCAACATATGTCAGTACAATGGCTCCAGGGAAAATGACAATGCCTCCACCACCAGGACCTCAAAGTAAGTAAATAAGCTATCTTGAAACAGCTGGTGTAGGTAGCTGTAGGAAAGTAAACTATAATTCATACATATTTTATTCACAAAATAACTAGCATTGATTGGATAGCAGGCTAAAGCCTATAGGGTCCTCTCCAATGAAAACTATGTCAGCACTTGGTGTCCATGCATCTTCATGTCAAACTCCAAATCTGGAGGTAAAAGAAACAAACACAATCAAACCCACTATATATGTTATTTTATACTGCCCTTTTCTTGATTGATATAGTCATCATTTTGTGTCCAATGTAGGTCCATCTGACATCAGACAATTTACATTTTCATCGTCCCATTGAAACACCTCAGCCAGGTTGAACATGGCAGGAATAAGAAATGGAAGATCCTTTATGAAATAATACTCATTTTGTTATGAACAGATGAAAAACATTATGATTGGAAGACTCTTCACAATCAGTTGTCATTATATAATTTTTACCAAACATGGCAGCGTTGGTGGCACATAGTTTCCATTGAAACCCTTTGGAATATCACATTTTCATCTTCTTTGATTGATCTTCTTGGCAGATTTTAACCTGTTTGTATATTTATGATGTATATTATGTCTTCTGCAGATTTTCCTCATTTTTGGAAGAAGAAAAAGATTGTCAAGGCAATTTTTTATTCTGATTGGCAATTTTCAGAAATCCTAAGGGATTGATAAAATACAAAACTATATTTAGCTAAATTTGTTAGAAGTTATTTCCTCTTGAACAATTCCAAATGAAGTGGTAAAATTCCCAGGTGAGCAATACAGACTCTTAAGAGCCCTTTAGTCTTTAACATTTTTTAAACCCCAGCTGCTAGGCGGAGGGGGCATTAAGGTTTACCTATGTCCGTCTGTACATCTGTCCGTATATCTGTGCGTTCCAAAATTGGTTTCCATTTTCTAACTTCAGTTTGCCTCAACCAAATGTAATAATTAAACTTATACACAATGCTTATTACCACCAAGCACAGATCAAGTTCGAATTTGGGTGATGTCACTGTCAATATTCTTGAGTTATGTCCCTTTAAAAAATTGAAAATTGCCAATTTTGCTGTTTTTTGTGCTCTATCACGTTTACTGTTCTTGAGTTATGTCTCTTTATAACTGGAAAAATTTCTTTTGTCTGAACTCTAACTGTTGTATGTACAGACCAAATGTTTCATTTCCATGCTCAAAAGTTTGAAGGGGCCTCGGTGGCCGAGTGGTCTAAGTAGTTACTACTGTAATCACTAGCCAGTCAACACTGAGGTTGTGAGTTCGAACCCCGCTCGTGCGGGTGCACTCGACTCCGATCTTAATTGACTAGGATTGTCAGTTTTCCTATCGAAGGTCGTGGTTTTCTCCGGACACTCCGGCTTCCTCCACCAATAAAAACTGGCTGCCACGAAATAGCCCAAAAGTGGCGTTAAAACACCAAAAATCAAAAATCAAATCACAAGGGGGGCATCTATGTCTAATGGACACATTTTTTTTTTATTTACAAACTTGCAATGTGTTTCTTATTAACTTAAGGTCTTCTCGTATTACCAACTAAAATATTACCTATAGCAATGCTATATTACACCTACAACATTTTGGAATCAGAATGTTCTATATCAATTTATCTTTTCAGTTCCTTATGAATATGGACAGTACAGTTAAAAGTCAAGGAAGTAACCTGGGAGTGTCAACATAAAGAAAAAGAGAAGACTTTTTCCATTTATATTCTCAGCAGTTTGTGCTTAACATTTACATTTGTCTATACTTTTCTGCGTTACAAGAAGATAAAGTATTGTTAGAAAAGGAATTTTTTGGCTTGTTTCAAATTTCAGTTCTCCACAGAAATTCAGTTTCTGTAGAAATTTTCTTATGTTTTCAGTAAAATTTAAAATAATTCATCAGTTCTATTTTAGAATAGAAATGACACATAATCAAGGATATGTTTTCAATCTAAATTTTTTTAATTTTTTTTAGGACGGGGCATGAAAGACTGCCATGAGGTACATTGACATTGTAGAGACATTCTGTTTGAAAATAATTCAGTGCATTGTACATTTGAATATCATTGTCTTCTTTATATGACAGTATTACTCCATAAGAGTCCCAACATTTTTTAATGCATTTTTGTACAGTTGTAACCACACAAGAATGATTTTTCCATGTAACTAGACTGTAGGTTATGAACATTCATAAGCAGACTCACGTCATTGAATTAAAGTTAAAATAAGAGATAAGTATCAAAATGTATGGTATACTTTACAGCTCAAATGCTAACTACTTTCAGATTACCTTAACAGGATTTGCTTATTTAGGAAAAAATTGGAAACATATCCTTGAATGGGACTCATATTCCTCATGTTTGATAATAATTAAAATCTAACTAAAAATCTTATATTGTGTTATTGGAGAGGTAAAAACATAATTTTTATAATATCTTAAATGAATCACCAGTTCCATAGTTTGAACATAAGATATTTGTCAGAATGCTTTAATTTCTACCTATATTGTATCGATATTACTAGATAGGACAAGTTGTTGACACTAGTCTCTCGCCACCGTAGTAGTCTCTTTTAAAAGTGCATGCAATTTTGTGTTTCATTTTGATGATGCTGTTATGTTATTTATTTAACAAGTGCTATGCACAAAAGTTGTTTTTATTCATATATTGAATTGTTATTTGGAATGTTTTATGAGGTTGCTTTGGATCATATATTTGTTATATGTTATTGCTGGAAGAAGACTTGAATAACTGACTGTTTCTGGAATAAAACAAAAGTGATTAATGTGAAGTTGATGATACTTGTAAAGCTTCTGTCAGGTGTATAAAAAATGTATAGATTAGTGTAGAAATTGAATTATTTTTAGAGTAAATAACTAATCTTCGAAGAGAAATCAGCATCTTTACAAGTATGAAGTATTTGTCTTGTAAGATTTTTCTATCTTGTCATTCTTTATAAGTCTTTTTTGAATTTTAGGACTGTTCACTGTACTATTTGTTAAAAAATATAAGGAACACCATAGTCTAGTAATATATGCTTAAGAGACAATTTTTTTTAAGTTTAAAGAACTAAAAGAATCAAGTTTAGAAAACTAGACGTTTGAAAAGTTTTCATCCAGATATCCAGGAATAGTAGGATTATTCCAAGTAACTTCTGTTTGTTGTTAGGCTGGAGTATTGAGTACTCGTGTTTGTTAAAGTTAGGATTGCTACATGTATAATGTTATATTTTTGTCACATATCAATTATTTTATATCTACATTCCAAACTGCGAAACTCATTCCATTCATCCTTATTTTCTTTCTATTTATATGTTACTAGTAGGCACACAGTATGCATTACAGACGAAAGAAAGCCATTTTTATTTTTCTGAACTTTTAAGTATATATATGACTAACCAAGATTGTCACAAGATTTCTGCCATAAATAAGGTTTATATTTTTTTATCCTATTAAATATTATTGTCCTAATAGAGTATTCTGTTGTTTATAGACATTCGTGAAACATTGACATCCTTTCCAAATATTTATCCCGTCATTCATTCTTCATTATATAGTAGATTTGGGAATCTTGGCTTTAAGTTTTAACATAAAATAAGTCTCATGTCAGGGATGAATTTTACAAGTTATTTTTTATAGACATCAATATTTTGTTCCTGATATTGTTTTCAAAAGTTGCTCATGGAGAACTGCAAAAAATTTTAATTTTGATAAGGAGTTACGATATATGTGAACTGATATTGTTCTGAATTTCTTTGTACTTATAAAACCATTTCTGTTCATTAAAAACTTGGAGGCTAATATACAATTGTTGGTTGTTTCAAGGGATGAGCATAGTCTCATTATTATCAAACTTTTAGTTCTGTATAATTAATATATTTTCAAAGTTTGAACCTTATACTTAGTTATAGTTCTGCCATGACCCAGGTTGGTGCTCATTTTTATTTTTTATTAGGTACTCAAAGGTGTTGTGTAGTGATATATATATATATATTGCATGCTTTTGTTGAATTATTTTAAACAAAAATATGTTCTTTTGAACTATTTTTCTGACATATTTTTTTATAGTTTTTAAAAGAATAATATATACTTACAATTGGATACATTTTAATAAACCAATGATAATAAGAATAACATCCTATGTATTAGCCTGATTTGTTGAAATTTGAAAAGATAATCTTTTTATACAAGATCCACAGTAGGTGGTTAAGGTGCCAAATGTCTTTCTTAGCCAGATATGCTCAGCACAATCCTATAATGTCTTGCAAAAATACAAAATCATGCTAGGTTAAATGTTATTACATAAATAAGGATTAAAACGTTTTTTTTTTAAAACTTGAGGGGTAAACTGTGACCGGTAATTTTTTTTGTTCTATTGAGGTGAATTACTGTTAAATAGTAGATCAATTGAGAGGATTATTTTAATTATAGATTCATAAAAAAATACTATGTTTTATTCAAAAGAGGTGTGTATATGTCCTTCAGACCCAATAACAATATTATATTAAATTCAAGTTCAAGTTCAGTTAAAACCATGTTGTAATTTGTTGTTTAAAAAAAGGATTTTTATGAAAAGAGAGGAGGGGGATTAAGAGTTTGATATTTACAAAATTAATGTATACTGATAGTATCTATGATTGAATTACAAGACATATATAGGGTTGTACATTGTTTTGGTCATACTGTAAATACAAGTAATATGCTTTCACAGTGTGTTCATTCTGATATAACGAGAAAATTTAGCTTGAATATTTATTTTACATTCTAAGTAAACAAATGAATCAAAATAGTAAAATGATTATATAATCTATTTTAAAGAAATTATATATTAAATTGACTCGGTATGACCAAAACTGAGCTTATGTGCAATGTTTGTAGTTAACCTGTAATAACTAAAATCAAACTTACATCAACATAGATATGTAAATGTTTCTTCCACAATAGAAAGATTGTCTTCCATAACAGGTACTGCTCTAAGTATTAACATTAGAAATTAAAAAAAATAGAATAGAAATTCTGTTTATACATGGTTAATGAAAAATAGAATAGAAATTATGTTTATACACGGTTAATGAAGTAAATTTTAGAACAAAGCCAGAAAAGATATCAGAAATAAATATCAAATCACTTTGTCAAATCCTAAACCTCTTAAAAGTTACAAATATAATGGAGCAATTTTGAAATGCAAGATGTAGGTGGAAGGAAGATTTACATGTAGAATTAGAAAAATTAATTAAGAAAAATAAAGTAATTAGAGATGGCTTTTTGTATAAAGGATGCAATACTTAAAGAGATTAAATAAGGCATAATATATGTATTAAAAAGACAAAAGTGAGATTATGATGTAGTATGTAAGGCCTGAGTATTTGAATAAAATTAAAAATGATACAATTACAGCTTTATAAAATAATCAATATTAAAAGTATCAAAAAGTAATGCAAAGTATAATGTAATAATATGAGAAATTTAATTTCCAAATAAGATGTAGGATTTCAATAGTAACGATATAAATTAAATAAGCTTCCAGATGTTAGGTTGTATTAATCATTCCATAAGACTGCTTCTTAATAAATTCATGCTTTCATAATGGTTATGCTTCATATCTGTCATGTGTATATACAAAATCATAGCCTGCACCTCTTGCCAAATTATTTAGTCTACACAATACCTTAATATTATAGTATATAATCATTTCAATGGTGGTGGTGTTTATTTTATTTGATTTTCGTTCATTTTATCATTTACTTTTAATATCCAATTAATACAGATTAGTAAAACTATAATTTTGAGACTAGAATATGATACAAAGGATAAATAGCCTCCATTAATACAGCTGTTATCCTAATGCTAGCAAGTTAAAGGTTTGGTTTGCTTGCTTGCTTTGTTTGTTACATTAATGTTTGCTCAAGCATTGTAATTAAGATTGACATATGAAAACAATATAAAAAGGCGGGGTTAAACTTGTATACATTATATTTAAATTTGATTGGACATTATCAAATATTAAAATTTACCTAAATACAGGTTTAACTCTGCCTACTTATATTGTTTGCAGATGTCAATCTTAATTACAATGCTTGAGCAAACGTTAATACAAACAAAGCAAGCAAGCCAACCAAACCTTTAACTTGCTAGCATTACGATAACACTGAAATATAATTATTTCACACAAAATCTGTATTTATTGGATAAAGTATCTATTTTAATCAGTTAGATTACACAGATTTGTCTTTTAATTTTGTCATAGTTAGCAATTCCTGATTACCAAAGTAGTTATTATAGTGCAAATATTTTTGTAAGAATTCCATAAATAGGTAGTGATTGTATGATGTGCCATTTATCTGAGAAATTGTATGTACCCCAAATTCTCTATTAGAAAGGTAATTGTGCATTGTTGATAAGGTTTATAATTGAATTAATGACGTAATGCAAATGAGATTCCAAATAGGTTATGGAAAATGTGGAAAGACCTAAATAATTATTTAGATTTATCTTCAGAGAAAATATAAAATGTCAGCACTCTGAAAATGAAAAAAAAAAAGATTACAAATGTTATTTTATGCTAGAAGGGTTCATTTTCACTTTAGCATTAAGAAATTGGTGATAATCAGAAAAATTAGATTGATAAACCTATTTGGAAAGGTGTGATATTGAATACGATGATTATAGGGAACATACAAGGGTGATTTTTCTCAGTGCCTTATGTGACAAACTAGTCCCATGTTTTATTGTTTTGTTGGTTATGAAGGGTCTCAGGAGTTATATATATTTTACTGTGATATTTATACACCAATATTTTTACAATAAACTGGTATTAACAAATGAAAGATTCTTGCTGCAAATCTTTAATGTTCTAAAAATAAATTCTGATTTACAGAATGATAGTTGCTAAACATAAGTCAATGTTTTGAATTTTGCAAAATTTAGGGAAACCACTTGCCTTAATTACTTGTATCATTTTTATTTAGCATTCACCACATATTTCTTTTTACACATTACTATCAGGTGAATTTAGTATTTGTGTCAATGTTCAGAAAATTTAATTTTTGCTTGTTTCCCTGTTACTGAAATTGATCTACAAGTTTGTTTACCAAATGTAATATGTAGTTCCTTGTGCATTTTCCTAATCAAAATATAAATTAAAGGTTACCTGCACACCAGGGCTTCCAAAATTATTTTTAGCCAGCCGGACATTTTATATATTATTCCGATTTTAATCCCTTAAGACTAAATAAACAAAAGGCAATTATGGTAATCAGTTGCCGAGTCGGCCATCCCAATGATTGACATTAAAAAAAACGATATTAAACTTTCTTTGATTCAAATTCGAAGTTCTGACGTAAACTGTTAAATTGGCAGTGCATCATTCGAAGTGTGCAACATCAGCGTACTTATATCTGCCTTAGACTCTTTATTTGTGCAAAATAACGTTGTCAAAAACTTTACTTTCGTTTTTATATCGGATGTTATCTTGACAATGGTAAAACTTGGACCAGAGACGGATACGTAAATTCCGTGTACGTTTGCAAAGCGTGAATTAGTGGAAGTAGCTCTTTCTACGTTATTTCTTCAAGAAAATATTCGAAATAAACGTGAGATAACAGTATCAATGACAATTTAAGCATTTTTTTAAGAAATTAGGATGCATAATTAAATTTCACACCTGCGCACACGTGTACGTGTACTAGTTCGAACAGAGACATGTCTCTAGGTTCAAACAACGTGGTTATGACGATTTTTCATTTTCACCTTTTTAATTTTTTCATCAAATCATATTTGTAAACGTATTTCTGATAATTTAAATCTTTTTGACAAAATTAATTAGATGCAAACCGCTGAAATGTAAGAAAATAACTTTGAATAGACCGATCAATGTCCGGTTCAAAATAGTTTACCTGTCACCTGAACAGGTAAATTTCAGCTGTTTGACAACTAATTAGCCTTGATTAAAATGAGAAGGTATTAAAGTAGGGGTTGTTTTGATAGTACTTAATGATCATGTAACTTTTATGATCGGAAATGTGTGGCTGTTAAAGGCAAAACGTTGGGTCAAAAAGATCGCGAATTATGTTAAAATGACCGTCTCTTAAAGCCTTGAATACTAAAAAGTAGATGACCGTTTCATGCTTTGCCCAGCCGGACTTTTACCGGACATTATACAAATGTCCGGCATATATGACCGTTTTGGAAGCCTTGCTGCACACAGATCTTTTAAATATTATAACTGGAAAAATAATAACATATGAATATATTAAACGCTGATTCAATTTTTCTAAGCTTTATTTATCAAAGGTCACATTTATTATGTTGCACAAAAAGATAACATGTAGACTTTCTGCAAAGAATATTTTTTCTAAAGAGAAAGATCCTGGCATTTAATGATCATGAACTACAATATTCACCAGACAATCAGGGTTATCACATTGACTTATGAAAATTGCAGCAAGAATCCTGCATTGTTTAACCAGTGCAGTTTTATTATACAAGTTAATCTAGAAAACCTAATTGTGACCAAAAAATATTAGTCACAAGTTTATTATATAAATTTGCAGAAGAATCACTTTGTCATATCCATGCTGCTTTCATTGAAAGTAACTTTTTTATGGTTGTTATAAAATTATGTTGGGTGGTGTTTCACCAGTTATACATTTGTAAAAATAATGCTTTTCTTTTAATGTCTCCAATGTGAGGATGCCTAATATATATTAACAAACCTCCCCTTTGTCTTTGTGTTTGCATAATTAAGCAACCTTATAAGCAGGGCATTTTACACAAGTTAAGAGTAGAATATGACAAAGTGATTTAATTATCATTGATCATTACACAATAACTTCACTATACAATATTGACAATCAGAGCTTTAATAAAAAAATACCACACAACCACTTTTTGTTTCATTTCCATATTTGTTTTAATTAAAAATCTAGGAATATACATAGGTAGTCGCATTGTAGACTTATTCTGAGTATTTGATTTGTTGAGAGAAACATTTCACAAATTATTGCGTGCATTCATTATTTTGATTTTTGAAGAATGAAGAGTTTAATTGTCAAGATTTTAGGAAAAGCTACATAAAGTTATATGTATTTGTTATCAGAATACAAATTCTTATTATTGCGAAACTCATGAAGTCCCATTATTCGCAGCAATTGATAAAAACCTTGCAATAATGAATTTACAGTAATCTACTTGGCCACAATCATCATTGGGGTATCTAGTTTAAATAAACTGCTTCGCCAAGCGCAGCTGGATACGACCGCAGAGGTCCAACCCTGAACAGTTGAGGCAAAAATGGACACAATATTCAAGCTTGATACAGGTCTGAATTTGGATTGTTATTAAATATTTGACATATTATAGGTTTCTGACACAGAATAAATGTAGTCAAAGAACTTAAATTTGGTTATATGAATTGAATTTATATTCAATTGAAGATTTCTTGCTTTTGTGCAATACACTGCTGTTGGGCAATACTTAGTAAATCTGTTTTCAGACTATATACAAAGAATAAGCAATTGTGACCCCCAATTTTTCTTTGGAAAATTGACAATTTCTTAAATCTTGAGGATAACCCCCTGAAAAAAAATTTATTATTTTTTTTAAACCCCCCCCCACCCCCCAAAAAAAAATAACATTTGAAGAAAATTTTCTTTTTATAAAATGTGGAACATTTTAAGAGACATCAATACACTTAACACAAGTTATTGTCTGAAAACTAGAAAAATGCTTGTTTTAGACCCTTTTTTGGCCCCTAATTCCTGAACGGTTTGGACAATTACCCCCAAAATGAATCCCAACCTTCGACTTGTGGTATTGAACCTTGTGGTACAATTTCAGAGCAATCAATATACTATACACAAGTTATTGTCCTGAAACTAGAAAAATGCTTGTTTTGGGCCCCTTTTTGGCCCCTAATTCATAAACGGTTGGGACCATCACCCCCAAAAAAAAAATAACATTTGAAGAAATTTTCTTTTTATAAAATGTGGTACATTTTAAGAGACATCAATACACTTAACACAAGTTATTGTCTGAAAACTAGAAAAATGCTTGTTTTAGACCCTTTTTGGCTCCTAATTCCTGAACGGTTTGGACAATTACCCCCAAAATGAATCCCAATCTTCGACTTGTGGTATTGAACCTTGTGGTACAATTTCAGAGCAATCAATATACTTATACACAAGTTATTGTCCTGAAACTAGAAAAATGCTTGTTTTGGGCCCCTTTTTGGCCCCTAATTCATAAACGGTTGGGACCATCACTCCCAAAAAAAAATAACATTTGAAGAAAATTTTCTTTTTATAAAATGTGGTACATTTTAAGAGACATCAATACACTTAACACAAGTTATTGTCTGAAAACTAGAAAAATGCTTGTTTTAGACCCTTTTTGGCCCCTAATTCCTGAACGGTTTGGACAATTACCCCCAAAATGAATCCCAACCTTCAACTTGTGGTACAATTTCAGAGCAATCAATATACTTATACACAAGTTATTGTCCTGAAACTAGAAAAATGCTTGTTTTGGGCCCCTTTTTGGCCCCTAATTCATAAACGGTTGGGACCATCACTCCCAAAAAAATCCCAACCTTTCTTTAGTGGTATTGAACCTTTTGGTAAAATTTCATAGAGATCCATACACTTAAACTTAAGATATTGTCCTGAAACCAAATGTCTTCGCGGTCGTATAAAAAGTGTCCAATGACCCTGCCAGCCAACCAATATGGGCTAACATACGTAAAAATAGAACATAAAGGTAAAATGCAAGGTTGTCTATTATTTTAAAAACTGTAAAGAAAGATGTTATGTTGAGATCTACCTATAAGTCATTTAAATCAAAACTGTCGAGATGACTTCTTATAGGAGGTAATGCCCTAAAATGATGAATTTTACCGTTTTTGTTCATTTTTGCCTATAATCTTGAAAACAATAATAGATTGAGAGATACTGTTAATAGCAACAAGAGTGCACACGCTGAAATGTCTTGCCTTCTTTACTAACCATTGATTTTATGTTGATAGTCCTAAATTTAAAGCTTTACTACAAGTAACACATAAACTTAACATGATCCAAGAAAATGAGGTCAAGGTCGGATAAACCAAACCAGAATTACATGTACACCTTACAATCATTCAATAAACCAAACATAGTTGACCTATTGCTTTTAGTTTCTAAGAAACAGTCTTAACCATGAAAACGAGGTCAAGGTCAGATGAACCATGGCAGACAGACATGTACACCTTAAAATCAATGTATGCATTAAATATAGTTGACCTATTGCTTATAGTATCTAAGAAACAAACTTAACCATGAAAACTTACTATTGACCAATGAACCATGAAAATGAGGTCAAGGTCAGATGATACCTGTCAGACAGACATATACACCTTACAATCCTTCCATACAACAAATATAGTTGATCTATTGCTTATAGTTGAAGAAAAACAGACCAAAACACAAAAACGTAACACTGAGAAATGAACTGTGAAAATGAGGTCAAGGTCAAATAAAACCTGCAAGACTGACATGTACATCATAAAATATTTCCATACACCAAATATAGTTGACCTATTGCATATAGTCTTAGAAAAAAAGACCAAAACTCAAAAACTTAACTTTGACCACTGAACCATGAAAATGAGGTCAAGGTAAGATGACACCTACCAGTTGGACATGTAAACCTTACAATCATTCCATATACTAAATATAGTAGACCTACTGCTTATAGTATCTGATATATGGACTTGACCATGAAAACTTAACCTTGTTCACTGATCCATGAAATGAGGTTGAGGTCGAATGAAAATTGTCTGACAGGCATGAGGACCTTGCAAGGTACGCACATACTAAATATAGTTATCCTATTACTCATAATAAGAAAGAAATAAACATTACAAAAAATGTTGACTTTTTTTTCAAGTAGTCACTGAACCATGAAAATGAGGTCAAGGACAATGGACATATGACAGACGGAAACTTCATATCATAAGGCATCTATATACAAAGTATGAAGCATCCAGGTCTTCAAGCTTCTAAAATATAAAGCTTTTAAGAAGTTAGCTAACGCCGCCGCTGCCGCTGGATCACTATCCCTATGTCGAGCTTTCTGCGACAAAAGTCGCAGGCTCAACAAAAATGATCAGCAAGAAAAGATCTATCAAGTTAAATGGCTGAAAGTCAAACGACCCCTTATTGAAGAAGTTGCCCTTTATTAATGACTATTTACCCATTTTTTTTGCATTTTTGGGTCATATCTTAAAAACTCTAATAGATAGATAGAAATTTGAATAAGCAAAAATGATCAGCAAGACAAGATCTACAAATAATACAACACAGCCAAAATCTTCCTACTTCTCCTTATTGGAGTTATTGCCCTTTACTGGCATTTTTCCTAATTTTGTAAAAAATTATAAAAGATAAAGACTTAAATTAGCAAATATCATCAGCAAGACAAGATCTACTTATAAATTTATTGCTGAAATCTTCAGTTGACTCCTAATTGGAGTTATTGCTCTCAAATGATGATTTTTATCCTTCTTTAGTTTTTTTTTGCCTATAATCTTGAAAACTATAATACTATTTCTTAGATAGATCGACACTTTAAAGGCAAAAATGATCAGCAAGTAATTCTACAAACAAGTCAACATGGCCTAAATCGACAGTCGTCTCCTTTTTGGAGTTCTTGCTCTTTAATGACAATTTGTACCAAGCTTTAGGGTTTTTTGCCTTTTTTCTTAAAAATTATAAAAGTTAGAAATACGATTTAAAAAGCTAAAATAATCAGCAAGAAAAGATCTACAAATAAGTCAAATTTTGTTGAAAATATAGGAGTGATTTTGTCATGAATTCTGTTCTAGTCCACAATGTTTGAGAGTCCATTGTTGAAGATGCACATATACCTAGGTGAGTGACAAAGGTTCTTTAGAGCCTCTAGTTTGTTAGTATTGTAACAAAGACATCTTGTTAAAACAACTCCTTGGAGTCTGTTATCAGAAAGCTCTCATACTTGGTAAGATTTGACAATATTGTACCATGATTTTGATTCCACCATATTTACATGTTTAGGGGAGTTGAGGAGCTTTGACCATTTGTTGTCTGTTGGAGTATTGTAACAACACATTGTGAAGGCAACTTCTTTAAGAGCTCTTTACATAGTATTGTTTGTCAACATGTGTAGTTTACCATACGATACACCATTTGTACTGTATCTATGGGACTTTGACTATTTTTTGGATATTGTGACGACAGCTCTCATTTGGTATGATTAGTTGCCATCATGTGTTGTTGATCATAATCTTCTTTGATCCGTTCATATTTAGTGGAGTTGTGGGACTTTGATCATTTGTTGGAGTATTGTACTATGGCGTAGCAATCTTGTACTTATTAGACAAATTTTTATTTTCAATTAAATGTATCAAGAAATGCTGAAACTTGAGAGATGATTGGATTGGGAAAGTGACATTTTTGACGGGCAAAGATACAAAGGCTATTTATATTTTTAAATTAACTTTTATCTAGAGAACCTCCATAGGCCTTAATATTGCTCCTTTTTGTAGCAATTATTTCCAGTTGGGATTTAATGGTCATTATCACAGTGTATCAGTTAAAACAATGATGGTTTAAAGAACTTTTTTTTCAAAAGTTTACCTGTTTTAATTAAGGTATCACAATTTACTCCAAATTCCATTTCTTTTATCACCTTGAAACATGTATTGTCAGGATGAATCTTTGTAGAGTGTTGTACAAATGTTAATTGAATGTAGATAGATCAAGTGTCTTTGTTTTGCATTGGATGTGTGCATTTCGAGAAAATACTTTTAGTGTCTTAACATGCTTAAGGATGCTGTTTTATTGGCATTAATCATACATTTTTTATTCATTTTCAAAATCATGGAAACTTGCTGTTATGTAATGTAATGACCACTGTTGTTAATTATCGAACAAGTATGACTTGATTTTATAACCCACCCACAGAAAATGTATGAAAATGTTGAAACATCTATGGCAGGACTGGACTTGATGGAAAATATACAGTAACTTGTACAATTAGAAACTGCATGTTCTTTAGAGAATTGCTCAACTTGAATCTAAATTGACTAGGATTGCCAGTTTTCTGCCGAAGGTAGGTTGTTCTCTATGGGCACTCCAGCTTCTTCCACCAATATAAACTGGACACATCAAAACAGACAATTTTGCGGAAAGTGGCGTTTGACACCAACGATAAATCAATCAATCATGCAATAAGATGCAATCATACCTTATTTTCAAATTCTTTGTTGTTTTGGATTGTGAAGTCATATGTTTATAACACAACTTTTATTTCTATTAAAGAATTGACAATTTAATCAAATTCATGCATCAAGGAATGATATATAGTGTTAAGAATTGATTTCCTGTCAATAAATGCTGAACTCGCTTCTGGCTCTGGCTTCACAAGGTAATAGTGTTATAATCACTAAAATCAAGGATTGCAATAGAATGTATATGTTTCAGGATTAAATCTACAGTGTTCTACAGACTCAAGTTTGGTTTCCACTGACAAACTTTCTTTTTAATTTTTCTTTCAAGGTAGACATCTTGGCATCAATATCATCTAAACTTAATTCCTGTAATAAAAATATAACCATATAATTACTACCCCAGATTAATGATGGGTGTAACACTACTATAATTATACAACAGTACTGTAACTGTAAATTATATTTAAAATAGAGAAAACGTGTGTGTCTCACACCTTTGTTTATACCCATGAAGAATTCAACTATAAAAGACAACCTGTCTATTGTCAAAGACTTGTATATTGACCTCTAACATCACAGTACCCAAATTGATCCCATTTTGCCAAAAAATAGCAGTGTAAATCTTGCAAGTTTTTTTAGAGACTAAATAATTTGTATTTTTATAATTTGCCATTATTCACGTCTTTCAACATAGCAAAATATAAATAAATATGCACAAAACGGTCACATTATATATCAACAGATAAAGTGTCCTTAGAACAGAAACATCGCGGGCAACGTCCACAAAAATTCAACTTTGAAAAATGAGCAATTAAAATATGCCTGAAGCATCTATTTCTACAAAATGAATAATAAGGATGTACTATTGTTCTAAAAATGTGGAAAAATAAAACATAACATCAGTTATTTGATTTGAATTTAAGCATGGATGCAATTTAGGTACTCCTCATTACAGGATCTTGGGTCATTTGGAAGTCTGTTCAAACCCATTTTTCTATGATTCAGTATGGATTCAAAATAAAATGTGTGAAACTATATAGTAATTAAGGATACATCTACAAGATGAACACAGAATGGAAACTTTTGTCTGGATCTTAAATAAACTTAGGTGAAAAAACTGTCAAAATAGGTTCAATTTGGGTACCGTCACGTTAGCTGTCTTTAAGTATTTTGTCCAATCTGCTTCCTAATCTCAAGTGATGCAGTTAATGGAAAAGGAATATGAATTTAATGTGCCAAAAAATGCACTTTTTTTGTTGTTGCTAAAATAAAAAATTAAGATTTTTTGCATTGAAATTTATATTTGGGCTTTTCTATCCCAAACGGATTATTAAAACACACATTTGAGTGACTAGTCCAGCCTGTTAAATTTTTTTGATTTGGTCAGTTTAAGGAATAACAACTAATGGTGAGTCAATAATATTTGGTATGCAGATGTATTAGCATCGGCACATTTAATTTCCAAGGGGACTATTTGTTTTTGTGTCTTAATAATAATTAAGTTATGGTCTATTGACCTTGACACTTATATATTATTTATTGGATGTCCATACTTTCATTTTGCCAAGTCTAAAAGATAGTCCTATATTGTTACCACAGGTGCTTTATATTTCTGTGTCAACAGTTTATTGTGTTATTCGGTTTCTGTCTCATTTACATATACCCATAATCACTTTTTATTCATGTTAGGACATTGTAGTTCAACTTAAAATCATTTTAGGTGACGCTTGTGCTCAATACTAATTTAGCAACAATGTTCATGAAATTGGCCTTTTTTTCTAAAATTGGATAAATTGCCACTTTGACGTCACAATCAAATTGCATTATCAAGACTTACCTAATATTTCCATTTTCATAAAGGCCTTCATTTTGCAGGTTAAAAATGTAACCAATAATTATATCATCTAATTGTTTTATTTTCTGCCAATTTACAGGGCCAAATAAGAACCAAATGGTACCTTCTCCTTGGTGCATACAAATACATCAGACATCTTATATTTATAAATTATCAGTTATTTATTGGAATTACCACATCATTAGTGTCAATGGAGCAACTTCAGATTCATGTTCGAGGATCAAGAGCACAAAGTTGTCTCTATCAAAACTGATTCATGTTAATGGATACATAAATGTTAAATTTTACTACTTTAAAGTGGTTTATTTTCACAAAATTCACATTTCTAGGATCAAATCTGTTCCCAAGGTTTTATTTTTACCCTTTTCTCCTTATTATAAACTCCCTCAAAGATCAAACTTACCTGATCAAATGTTAAAATAGCAAAAAATAATTCCCCCAGTGGTGGATCCAGAACTTTTCTTGTTGGGGCCCTGCTCCAGTCATGCTTCAGTGATTCCCTATATAATCAACCAAATTTTTCCCTCAAAAGGGGAGGGTCCCCCCCCCCCTGGATCCGCCTATGCCCCCCTGAAAATGACCTACTTTACACTATATGTTTTAAATGGAATAATTACTTCATCACATCAATTTATGAATAAACAACTCTTAGACAGTAGAGTTCATATTTCAAAACTGAAAACCTGCCTATGATTCATATCCATGATATATATGATTATTTTTTAAAAATTGGGTCAAGTGATACCTTTATTTGTACACCAAGCATGTGACAGACAAATGAATAGATTGACAAATGGATGTGAGGATCATTATATCTGACTTCTTTGAAAGTGGGTAGAAAAACTAAAATAAGTTTTCATTAAAACAGAACAAATAGATTCTAGAATTACCTGATCAACACTGGTTTCCTGTTTCACAAATCTATCTACCTTTCTTTGTTTTTGTGGAGGAACCTGCAAATATATCAATTTATTGTGTTACTGTGAATTCATTATTATTTGTTGGATACCAATTTTCATGGTTACAGGCAAACCACGAATTTGAATGTTAAATGAACATGATGAATTAAAAGTTTTCTATGAGATTGTATGCAAACATTGGCAAAACCACAAAATCAAATATCCATGAAAATACAAGTTTTCCTCAATCCACGAATATTGGTACCCACGAAAATAAATGAATACACAGTATTCAAATTTATTTCAGAGGGCATTTGTTAAAATCATGCCTATTTTATGCATTTTCTGTCAATTCGTTTATGCCCCAAAAGAACATGGCCTTTATAAATATTACATAAAATTCGTCTGCTGCTCTACATTTCCATAACACAACAATTTTACATTTTTGCCCAAACTTTAGTTTTTTTAGGTTGACCAACTATAATTAGAAAAATTATAGGCCTTTGACCTACAATATTTCCTGTAAATAATAGCTGAGGGCCTTTTTTCATGCCTTGATAAACTGTACCTTTCATTTTTTTAATGATCAAATTAGAGCTTAATTAAGTTGACAATTTAAATAGTCCTATGTATATTAAACTCTAATTTGATCATTTAAAAAAATCGTAAGGGTTCTGCGGAACCCAGTGTCTCGCCTACTTTTGCTGTTAGTCGCAGGCTCAACAAAAATGGGGAAAAAATTATTAAAAAATTTTCCTCTAGATACTATCTTTTGATTGTAAGAAGTTCTGTTCAAGTTTGGTAAAAATCCAAGAAGGTTTATGAATCTATAAATGTCTTAAAAACTTTAACTGCAGACTGTACGTAATCTTAACTGGCATAAAACTAAGTCCATCTATAAGTAATATACGGAAAAACAGGAAATAAATTTTTACAAAATTTCCTTCTAGATACTAGCTTTTGATCATAAAGAAGCTTCTGTCCAAGTGTGGTACAAATCCAGGATAGTTTAAGAAAGTTATTAAAATTTTGAAAGCTTTAACCACAGAGTGAATGTAATGTTAACTGGCAGAAAAACTAAGTCCATTTATAAGTGAAATACGGATAAAACAGGATTTTTTATTTAACAAAATTTACTTTTGAATACTATGTTATGATCACAAACAAGCTTCTGTCCAAGTGTGGTACAAATCCAGGATAGTTTAAGAAAGTTATTAAAATTTAAAAAACTTTAATCACAGAGTGAATGTTATGTTAACTGGCAGAAAAACTAAGTCCATATATGAGTAAAATACAGATAAACAGGATTTTTTTTTACAAAATTTTCTTCTGGATCCTATCTTATGATTATAAACTATCTTCTGTTCAAGTTTGGTACAAATCTAGGATAGTTAAAGAAAGTTATTAAAATTTCAAAAACTTTAACCACAGAGTGAATGTTATGTTAACTGGCAGAAAAACTAAGTTCATTTATGAGTAAAATACAGAATAAACTGCTTCGCTGAGCACAGCTGGATACGCCCGCAGAGGTCCAACTCTGATCAGTTGGGGCAAAAATGGACACAATATTCAAGCTTGATACAGGTCTGAATTTTGATTGAAATTAAATATTTGACATATTATAGGTTTCTGAATAAATGTAGTCAAAGAACTTAAATTGGTTATATGAATTGAATTTATATTCAATTAAAGATTTCTTGCTGTTGTGCAATACACTATGCTGTTGCACAATACTTAGTAAATCTGTTGTCAGACTATATAAAGTTCAATTTCTTCTCAATTTCATATTTGAAATTTATGAAAATCAATAGGGAGATTACATCAATAGCTATAAATAATTCACCAAAATTTCATGAGAACTGCTGAAAACATTTTTGAGTTATTGTCCAAAAACTGGAAAATCCCCCCTTTTTTAATGAATAAAACCCCATAACTCAGAAATATAAAATCTAAAATTTATAAAATTCTAAAGGGAGCTTACATCAACAGATATAAACAATTCACCAAAGTTTCATTTGAACTGCTGAAAGCATTTTTTAGTTATTGTCTGAAAACTGGAAAATCACCCTTTTTTTATGAATAAATACTATCTTATGATCATAAACAAGCTTCTGTCCAAGTTTGGTTGAAATGCAGAATAGTTTAAGAAAGTTATTAAATTTTAAAAACTTTAACCACAGGGTGAATATTTGTGGCCGCCGCCGCCGCCGACAGAATGTAGGATAGCTATGTCTCGCTTTTGCGACAAAAGTCACAGGCTCGACAAAAATGAAAGGTACAGTATATCAAGGCATGAAAAACCGCCCTCAGCTATTATTTACAGGTAATATTGTAGGTCAAAGGCCTATAATTTTTCTAATTATAGTTTGTATACATCCACTTTGCAAAATTTACTTTTTGAGGACAACTTTTTAAATAAAGTCAAACCTACTGTTTGAATTGTTTCACTTTTTCATATCAAGGCTTTTAAAGCTAACTATATGGTAAAGGTTTTTCTCATTGTTGAAGGCTGTACGGAAACCTATAATTGCTTATATCTTCGTCATTTGAGCTCTGGTTGATGTCTCAATTGCAATCATACCCCATCTCCTTATTTTTATATAGGTCATATTTTATTAAGCAAAAGCCTGTCTTGTCAGGTTCCCCTCTTCTTAATACCTATGTATTTTGAACCTCAATTCAAAGGTCACCTCTCTTATACAGTCAGTTTTCTCTGGTCTCTAGGGTGACCTTTATATACAGGTTTGTATAAGTTGCCTAAAACACTTTAAATTTGTCTAATGTTTCCCTTTTATAACTATACTTATATGTACATCCACATGTCATTCCTTCTTTGATTAAAAGTATAATCTCATTATCAAACAAATGTATGTTTCATCAATGTTAATCAGTGGTAAATCAAATACACTAACTATGAATTTACTATGAATTTTTTTTTATTTGGAATTTAAGGGTGTCGATGAACCACAAAATTTTAAAGGTTCAAGGAAGTATAAATTTTTTATATGATTGTATTCAAACTTTGGCAAAAGAACGAAATCAAAATTTTCTTCAATCCACGAAAATTGGTACCCACAAAAATAAATGAATCCACAGTATATCATATAATACTTACACTGCGATCAAAGTATTCTGGAGAGATTCCTTCCAGGTATAAAATTCTGTTCTCCAGTTGTTTCAGTCTACTATATACATTGGTTTTATTGATCTTTGGACCTGCAAAAAGTAAAACATAAAATAAACACATTTCAACCTGAAAAAAAATCACAAATTTTGGTATTGTTTTTCAATAAATAAATTACCATTTCAAGCAAATATATAAGTACAAAGTTATTGTACACCAATGAAAACTATAAAAATTTCAGAAATTCATCAGATTTTGAATACCGGTTGTTTGAATAATTATAAATTTTACATAACCATTGTATTCACAATGCAAAAAAACAATTGACCTAAAATTACTTATATATATTTCTCTAATTTGTAACTGATTTATATTTCCCCTCACTGGTTGATTATTATTTTATAATCAACCTTTGATTATTATTTTATAATCAACAAGTGGTTTGTTTGATCTCAGTTCTTCACTGGTCAAAATTCAATTTTGCCATTAAATTTCTTGCTATCCTCTGAAATTTGATAGTCACAACTGTCACATCACCAAAAAAGGCAGCATGTTTGATGACTTCACATTGAAAAAAACTTCTTTTTACAAATCATTGAAAAGGGAAGAAAAAGTTTGCCTACATATTGTCTAAAAATCATTAAAGAAACAGAAAAGCGCAAGCCAGGGCCGACCGTGCTTTATAGCCAGTCAAGGTCGTTAAATGTTTGAATGTTTAGAAATGTTTTTTTAACTGTGTCAAGTAGAGAACTAGCATATCTCACGGGATGTAGTGGTAGAAGCAATATTTGTCATTTTTCATAATGATATTTATAACTGCAATTACATTTAAAAATGAAAATTACATAAAAAATTAATCTTTGCTCATTAAAGTTCTGTAATTTGGGTTACTGGAAATAAAACAACCAACAATAAATAATATAAAGTCCCCAATTACAGTAGAAAAATCAATAAAAAAAAAATAATAAATCAATCTACTAATGAACTCAAAATCATTAACTTTTTTTTTCTAACTTTTTTTATTTTCCTGCATTTGCGCAGAAATCTTTTCCTGTATCGTTTTTCTCGGGATTTGAGTAAAATATTATGGGGACGTGCCTTATAACAGTAAGCAAATCAATATAAAAATCAACATACTAATGAAATCATAGCGTTTCTGTGTTTACATTGAAAATGACGTCACAACTAAAATCCCTAACAACAGGACCAACATCGGAAACGTTTCAGTATTTCCATTTCCTTTTTAACAGATTCTGGAGTTAAAATATGCTTTAATTAAAAAAATAATTTATATGGACTTCGTCCCCTTTCACAGGTAACACCTGCCTCATATTATATTAATACATGTACCTGTTTTGATCTTAAGATGTTCCTCTATGTTACGAAGCCTCTCTTCAACTCCTGGAAGAACATCATCTGGTTTCTCTTCCTTAATTTTCAATGGACTGGTGATCTGTGTCTGTGGACCATAGAGATTTACTACTTTAGAAACTTAAATAGAAATATTTCAATAAAATCAATGATTAATTATTCAAAATATGAGATTTATCAAGATTTTTAGTTTAAGTTTCATATTTCTTTTGTAAATTATATATAATAATATACATGTATATATTTAATGTGATTAAACAACTGGCACAACAGTTGATAATATGGCATTATTTTACAATGACACATTCCAATGAAATATATACAAGTCAATAAAAACATAATATTATGTATCCACTCAGATTTCATGTCATCATATTATACAAAGGGAAATAACTCAAAATTAACAGATGTTTTTCAACTTTATTCTACCAAGAAGTGATTGCATTGGTTTTCAAAAAACTGTATGTACCCTTGTATCCCTTATAATATTGAAAAACTGTGATAGAAAAACATACAAAAAAAATATTTCTCACCTTTAATGTGGCTCTTTCCGCCAGGTCTAGATAAAAATACAGCATTTACCCTGGCACAACTGTCATCAGGGTCTAAATATAATTGGATACAAATTTGTTAATAGGATGATTTATTCCCCTTGTAAAACACAAACCTAGGTTGTATTTATCTATAATATTTAGATGAAATTATGCTTTTAATAGCTAAGGCACAAAAAAGATAAAGATAAGAGAGAGACCCAAACAACTATTCCACTCTCTGTTCTCTATGGCAAAACAATGTAATATATTTTATCTGCTTCAATATTGTAGCACGTGCTAACAAGGTCAACAATAATTGGAATGAAAATGCACTTATTATAAAAGTGTTAATTTTTCATGGCCATTTTTTTTAGGTCATTTAGTGTTGTAGTAAAATGTATTTGCATCACTGTAGTCTATAGACACTTGATTTCTGTACTATTATAGTATAACATGAGTTCCAGTTTATTGTACCATGTAAAATCTCAGCACCAATCTATGTATTTGATATTTTCTCAGTTGTCTGTTTTTATCCGAGTTCAAAAGTTTTACTGTGTATGTCAAAAAAATGACTGGATATCCTAGTCAATATCAAATAATTTATGGTAAGAAAAATAAAAGGTGGATAGCCTACAATTCAAAATACTGCATATAGTTCTGGAAAGTTTTGTTGAGAGTATTAATTAATCATGCAAAAATTTAAGCCATTGAGAATTGATCTTTTGTTAAATGATAAACCAGCTCTGAAAGTTTCCTGATTAATTTTTTCATTTATCTCAGAGTTTTTCAGGGGGTGAGGCCCCTTGCCCTATTTCCATGAGGCCCTGCCCTTATTTGTAGAAGTTTAAGGTACTCTAAAAGTGTAGTCTTAAGCGCTAAAGAAACCCTTAAAGTGTTGCCATTCATGCTTCACGTGTTCTCTGAATAAAATAAAATGCTCCGCTGGGCCAGCTTGATACGACCGCAGAGGTCGAACCCAGAACAGTTGGGGCAAGTATGGACACAACATTCAAGCTTGATACAGCATTGAATTTGGATTGTGATTAAATATTTGACACAGCATAGGTTTCTGACACAGAATGAATGTGGTCTAGGAACTTAAAAAATTTTAATTTACCTATTCAAACCATATCATTATTATTTGCTTTAATATATAAATCAGAAATAACCAATTTAAAATGGAAAATTTTGAAGAAAATAAAAAAGGAAAAAAAATCCCTCCCCCAAATTTTTTGAACCCCCTTAAAATTCATCACCCCCAAACTCAATCCCAGCCTTCACTTTGTGGTATGGTACCTTGCAGTACAATTTCAGAGAGATCCATACACTTGAACACAAGTTATTGTCTGGAAACTAGAAAAATGCTTGTTTTTAGGCCCCTTTTTGGCCCCAAATTCCAAAACGTGTAGGGCAATTACCCCCAAACTCAAACCAAGCTTTCCCTTTTTGATATGAAACCTTGTAATACAATTTCATAAAGATCCATACACTTACACACAAGTTATTGTCTGGAAACTAGAAAAATGTTTGTTTTTTGCCCCTTTTTGGCCCCTAATTCCTAAAATTTTGAGGCAATTATCCCCAAAATCAATCCCAGCCTTCCCTTTGTGGTATGGTACCTTGCAGTACAATTTCAGAGAGATCCATACACTTGAACACAAGTTATTGTCTGGAAACTAGAAAAATGCTTATTTTTGGCCCTTAATTCCTTAAATTTTGAGGCAATTACCCCCAAAATCAATCCCAGCATTTCCTTTGTGATATGGAACCTTGTGGTACAATGTCAGAGAGATCCATACACTAACACACAAGTTATTGTCTGGAAGTTACAAAAATGCTTATTTTTGGCCCCTAATTCCTTAACTAATGATACCATAACCCCCAAAATCAATCCCAACCTTCCTTTTGTGGTATTGAACCTTATGGTAAAATTTCATAGAGATCCATTCACTTAAACTAAAGTTAGAGTGCAAAAACCAATGTGTCTTGGGACAACGACAACGACGCCGTCATACCAATATACAACCGCCACTCTTTCTTTTTTGAAAGCTGCAGGAAACACTACATACCCTCATCTGTGAAAACAGAACAGAACTCTTTCCTATTGTACTCATCTACTTCTTGTCTTTTCTGTTCAATAAAAGCAGCTATTCTTCTGTCTATCTTTAAAAATAAAATAATAATAGCATGCTATCTTTACAGCTTATGATTTTGTTAAAATTGCAGTGAAACTCTTTTAACAGGAATAGGTTTAATAATCTTCTTTAGAACCAGGAAATTTCTATTCATCTATAAAATAATTCACATCAAACATACATCTGAATTGGTGGCAGACACAGATACATGTAAAAGAGAGGCACAAGATACCAAAGGGACATTCAAACTCATAAGTCGAAATAAGCTGACAAAGTCATGGTAAAAAAAGAAAAAGACCAAAACACAACAGAGAAAAACTAAAGACTGAGCAACATGAACCACACCAAAAACTAAGGGCAATCTCAGGTGCTCCAGAAGGGTATGTAGACCCTGCTACACATGTGGCACCTGTCCTATTGCTCATGTAAATATAAACCCAGTGATAAGTCTAATTAGGTAGGTCACATTCTGGGAAAAGAGGACAGGATTGGAACATGCCAGTCGTCATCTGTGAAACAGATATTCCATAGCAGTCAACCAACTTGTGATGGCATTCATAAAATCTAAGAAGGAATCATTTCAACTTCACCACTTGGATTTCTTGGTATTATAACTTCCTTGTGAGCAGCAACCCTATATCAAGGAAATCATGATAGGAAATACAAGCTCTGGAATGTTGTATCAACTGAGCGATATATACTTCATATGCAGGCGCTGCTGGAATGTTACTGCATAGAAATGGAAAGTTCACAATTGGGAAGCTGAAAGCATCTCTTTGTCATAAAGTTTGTTTTCAACTGACCCTTATTGTAAATTTCTAGATGTAAGTCAAGATATGAGACAGACTTAACTGTATCTGTTGTATCCAAATGTATCTGAATGTAACAAATGAAATGGGTTTTGTCTGTCAGCATGTGTGTCAGTCTCACATAACTGCCACATTTTTCTTTCCAAGTACTAATGGCAGCTCCTTGGTATTTAATACCATACTACATAGAAATGGACATGCATTAACATTTATATGGTAAACAGGAAGTAAAATTGCCTTCACCTGAAAATGTGTAATTGTAATACTTTTCCAGATAAATTTTGGTATTAGAAAAGATATATGCTCAATAAAAGTATGTTCTGTGTGTCAATCTCATATTTCTACCACACTTTATTCATATTAAAGATAAATTTGTATCTTTTGTAAAGGGGGAAAAATCTTGCAAACTCATGACAAGGTAGAAAACATTTGAACTGAAGGAAATTGATTAGCAAGCCTGAGCCAACATATAAACCCCATTTCAATGAAAAGATAGAAGTCCTCCCTCAATAATAAAAATTGCTCCTATTTTTTACTTTTTACTACAAATAATGACTTCCTACTAAATACCAACCTCATCATTGGAAGCTTTGATTTGAATAAGATGTGATTCATCATTTCTGTTAGAAAGCTGATTTCTGTTGGCTTCTTCTAGATGTAATTCATCTGTCTTGTTAGGTTGCTGAATTTTATATGTTTCTTCTTGTCTCTTTCCACTTGAATCAAATTCTTCAGCTTGCATACTGTTTACATCATTGACTGCTTAAAATAATATTACATTTTTTGCACATCATTAGTTCTAAAAAAAGTAAGCTAAAATGACATACAAGAGCTGAACTTGAAGTAAGCCATTAATTTATCCATGCTAGGAAAATTCTGCTCGAAGAAGGAACTGAAGAGTAACGAACATGCATGTCAGTAATAACTAGGGATGTTAACTCGGTGAACAATTACTAATCGAGTACTCGTTGGTTTTATGAATACGTATTTTACATTCTGTGGTTTTTTGTTTAACGGACGAAAATCCATCTACATTATAAGTATCTGGTACAAGGAATTACACACCAAAATTAAAAGCTCATTACCTACAAGTACTAATTAAGTAAAAAAAAACAATGATCTAATCAATATAATTTAATGAACACTTATTTAATATCAAACAATAGTATTTCGTAATCGTTAAGAAAACACATTTAATGTTTACAAAGGCGTAAGGATCAGAAGTTTAACTTTTCACTGAGGGTCACCAGAGGATGCAAAGAATTCATTTTATTTGGAAACATTTTCTTGTCAACTATTATTGGGGACAGTCGGTTTTTCAATTTTGTAACTAACACAGTCTTGCAGACGAAAATATTTGCTCTGATGGTACTGATGTGACGGAATGGCTGACATGTTTAGTTTAAAGTGTTAGCCTAGGTATAGGCCACATATTTTCAATTTAGCACAAGAATTCGAAACAAAATGCATTTTATTTACTAGTATGATTTACCAGTGATGTTTATTTAATTTTCCGAAAGAGGTTCTCAAGAAGATCAATTTTATATAAAGAAGACAGCAATATTCTAACAGGAAACCGATTAGTCGAGTATGGTTTTGGTATTCGATACTAGGTACTACCAAGTGATACCTGAATACTCGAGTACTCGTTGACATCCCTAGTAATAACATAATCTGATGAAAATATAATTAAAGAAATGGTAACATGTAACTGATAAAAAATTAAAAAGGGAATGTCTTTATTATGCTAAAATTATCAGTAAAGAAAAAACACAACACGACCTAAATACTCACCACTCTCATTTTGTACTTTTGATTTAATGCAGATAGACCATTATGTAATTCCCTAAGACATACATGTAATATGAGGACAAAGTCCTCATTTACAGTTGAAAATTCAGTAAAAAGCAAAAATCAATATACTAATGAATCCAAAATCTTTTTTTTTCAGCTTCCTGCATTTGCACAGAAATCTTTTCTAGTATGGTTCTCTCTTCCAGTATTATTTGTCTCGGGGCTTTGAAAAAGTAAACTCATCATAGATATCAGGATTACAATTTTGTACGTCAGATGCGCATTTCGTCGACAAAAAACTCATCAGTGACTCTTAAATCAAAAAAGTTTAAAAAGCAAAATAAAGTACAAAGTGGAAGAGTATTGAGGACCCAAAAGTCTGAGAGGTTTGCCAAATAAAGCTAAGGTAATCTATAAGATATCAATTGGTTTCCCACAAACTTTTTGTACATGTATCTGATTACCAAAAGAAATTTTGGCAGTTAATAAACAATGAAAATAAATTCAGTATTGTTTCGAATGAGACTACTGTAGTAAGTGCTTATTCAGCATATGATTTTATAGCAAACAAAATGTATTCTGTGGGGAAACGAGTCACCTGGTCAATTAGGCAGATTTCTGATACAGAAAGATTAATAAATGATACATGTACATGTAAGCCAACTGTTTATCTTTGTCGTTTAAAGGGGTAAATTATTATATCTCAAAAGACTATAATATTGAAAGAACTTTACCTGAAGATAGCGTACATTTGTTTACATTGAAAATTACTTCATAACTAAATTCCCTAACAACAAGACCAACGTTGGAAACGTAAACCCGCATTTCCGTTACTTTTTCATCAGAAATTAAAAATATACTTGGAATTCGTTATTTTGTACAGGGTTATTTATTGTTTTGCCCTTGTTGAAGCCAATGATGTAGGGTATCTCAAAAGTTACGGGTTTATTTTTAATACAGTTTTTTTGTGTTTTTTTTGGTCATATTTGTAAAATGTAAAAATAATTAACAGCCTTGTACTTTTGTAGTACAATTTACTGTAGTTTTATTTTTGCAAAAATCAGTATTTAAATAATTATTCTGATATTCATACGTACTTCGTCCTTTTTCACAGGAAACACCTGCCTCAATTATATTGGTTGTATACTATTCCCAGCTACATGAATTCCTTTTTGAACTTTACACACAATTTAGATTTTAGTTGAAATGCCTACCTGTATTCTACCTCGTTTACTCACTCGACCATATTTTTATAGATAGTATTCCAGTTTTTTCAATGCATATATTTACCTTATCGATCTGCGGCGTTGTAGCTTCGAAAATAATCAAACAGAATGTAAAAATACATTTTTCAGCATTTCCTAACGTGCTAAATATTATACCGGAAGTCAATATTCTAGGTCATAAAATGTTGGATGGTGCGAACGTGATATTTTCCCGGGACCAATAGATGTCTTTATTCCCTAAACCTCGTCATACCAAAATTACAAGTCAAATCAGAATTTATTTTGCTTGATACTGTTTATCATTAAAACATTAAATCAATCTTTAATAAATGTAGTTTTACCATAAATTTGCTAAAAGGCGAAATCTAATATTTTCGGATTAGGGACTGGTCTGGTCATTTGTAACCTGAAGGGAGTAGGAATAAAATAAGGGGGGGGGGCTTGAAAATTTAAGGGAATGGAAAGGGGGTGTCCAATTTTTCAATCTACAGAGGGGCGGGGCATCGAATAATTTTTGCGACCCACACCCAACTCTTCCCCATACAATAAACAAATATATTTTTTTGCACAATAGATGATTTTTTTTTCGTCTTGCTCCGCTCGACTCAATTGTTAAGATTCAAATCCTAAATTTCAACATCTTCTTCCAGGAATGTATTTTTATCTGAAGTTAGTTTACCAGGATATATATGAACAATGTACTGAAATTGATTGGTAAATGTCAATGGCACCATAACCGGCATATTCCTTTGGTCCCTTCTGACGGTGTAATAACATATTTCACAACTTGCTTCCTATGCCCATGTCTGTGGTTGATTTTAGATTTCAATGAACATAATTTATGTATAATTAGTAAATTTAAAGGCAGGGATTTTATTACCACAAATTAATAAAAACCTTTACCAAATTATTTCATAGATATAAAAATTTGGTTAGAAAGTTTGGCTGTATCCCTTTAATACAAAAAGGATATCCTATCCTAATTTTTACGGTGATGTTGTTAATAAAAATTTAGACATATTCCATGTTAACTAATTATTCCTTTGATGACAATTATTCTTAAGATTATCAATTTAACACAGAAGTTAAATCTTTAAATATTGTTTTATAACAGTACTATATGTTGCTATATATGTACAGTAATCATAACTTATGATTCTACATCCTGTAGATACTGTTTACTTATATTTTGTCATTGCACAAGGTCATGCGTTTCTCAGACTGTTTATGACGTTTTTACACTTAATCCTTTGGATGTGTACTGGTTGATACTTTAGTCTGAGAAAACATGATTTATTTATTAATTGCAATGGGTTTTGAAATAGCTTCCAGTAACTGCGAGTACTCTTTGTTCGGTGCTTTGTTTCTATTGTTTTTGTGCCTCTTACCGATCTTTTGAGTTGAAAACTGCACCTGATTTTTACAGTTTGTTCTTATGTTGTGCTAGCTGTTACACCGCTGTCCCAGGTTAAGGAAGGGTTGAGTGCTCACACACATGATAATCCTGCCACATTCTTTCTGTGCCTGTCCCAAGTCAGAAGCCTCTAGTACACTGGTTGTCTTGGTACAGGTCGGTCATACATGTATGCATGTATGTTTGTTATAAAGAATAACAGTATTGAAAGTGTTTCTTTTGGGGGGGTTGAAATTTTCATGTCTTTGGAAGGTGGGGGTCTTGAATTTATTTTCCTTCATCAAGGTGGGGACTTGAAAAAAATAAGAGAAATTCTAATGTTTCCTCCCACCCCCTCCAATGAAAGAAAATGACCAGTCCCTTAGTAAAAATTTTTCAAAATGTGGTTATGCCAAAAAATTGCTTTTAGTAGGTGATATGTATGAATTGAAAAATACACCGAAAATTCTTTTTATCGGAAATACATTTGAAGTACAAGTAAGACTCACTGAACAATACCAAACAAGTTAAAATTTGGCACTGTTACTCTCAAGAGTTCAAAATACATGTATACTTGGAGAGACAAAACAACATGTACGATAATTGCCAATTTTCCACCGGTTAAATAAATGTGTTACATTTCATGACGGATACCATCACGAAAAAAAAAATTGAGTGTATAAAACAGTAATTTTATTTCTAGTAGCAGTGACCTTGATCTTTGACCTGTTGACCCAAAAGTCTATCCTTTATTTTGTCCCTTCCTTATATGTTTCATTTGAATCAAACAAGGGAAACTCAAGCTACCATTTGGAAACAATGTCATGTTCGTGACTTTAAAATTTACTACTGTGTCATTTTCCTGGGTTTAACATTTACTGCTGTGGCATGTTCCTTGCTTTATCATTTACTACTGTGTCATGTTCCTGGCTTTATCATTTACTACTGTGTCATGTTCCTGGCTTTATCATTTACTACTGTGTCATGTTCCTGGCTTTAACATGACTATGGAATTGTATAATATCAGTATTTCTTTACTCTTTCAACATGTCTGGTCTGTCTTCGTTTGGAGTTTATGCAATTGGTTTTGCTTCCATTTGTTTTGTCTGTTTGTACCTAAACTTGTAATGTTTCTTCTGTCGTCGCCCGTATTTTACTTTCATATTTTGTAACTGGTTCTTGAACTTTTCATCTTAGCTCATCAACTTCCATTTTGTAGCGATTAATCCATTTCAAATAAGATCATGAAATCAACTATTTTGTACTTTTTGTCAAAACATTATGCCAAGTAAACTTTCATTGTGTACCTAAACAAATGTCTATTACAATACAAAACAACATAAGGAAAAAAGAAGACAAATAAATAAGAGGTGTCGATTGATAAACTATGGCTTGTATCTAACATTTTACGAATATACGTATATGAAATATACAACATAAACACAAAACCAACAAAAAGCAAAATTTACAATTAGCGAAAACATAAACAAACAAACGAAAAAACCATAAAACAAACAACACAAAAACAAACAAAAAACAATCAAACAGACGTACAAAATAGGTTTTTAATTTTTATGTCCCCTTTAAGAACTGTGTGAATACGATTCAAATTTTGAGGAGCACATTACCTTGGAATACTAGTATTTTGAAACAATCTTTTTACATGTTATGGGAAAAAAAATTGTGGTTACCGTGGTTACGACCAGTAAGCTAAGAGTAAAGTGGATTTGTTATTTAAATTTTCTGATAAAAAAAACCTGGTAAGATAATCCAGTTGGATATAAAAACGTCTATTTAAAAATTACCACAACTAGTTATGATTAACAAGTTTGAATTGTATTACTATCCTTTTTTTAACAAACATTAGATGTCGTTAGTCGGTGTCGAGAGTTATTGAAAATGTCTAATAGCGGAACAGAACCTGTTTACCATTCCAGAGCACATGATTTCACTCCCGATTTTTGGTGGGGTACTTGCTGCTTAATCTTTTGTTCCTTGTATTGCATTTCGAGAACTTCTGTTTGTTTTTTCCGGTTTTTCTTCCGAATATGGTGTTGTTTGTCCTGCTTTGACTTACAATTGTGATTGTCCTATTGGTATTGTGATTGTCCTATTGGTATTGTGATTGTCCTATTGGTATTGTGATTGACCTATTGGTATTGTGGTTGTCCTATTGGTATTGTGATTGTCCTATTGGTATTGTGATTGTTCTTTAGATAAGACTACAATAAACACTTTTTGTTATAAAACGTATAATTTCTCCACCTATGTTTACCTAATACTATCATAAGACAGTCCTGACAAAAACCGTTATGCGAGAGTTTCGAAAATGTTGCTCTGCGCCTCAGGATGTATGAATTTTCCACACCGGTGTAAAATTCTGTACACCCCTGATTACACCAAGATAACTAATAATCTCTAACTGATAACACTGATTCGACCAGCTCAATTTCTAGAAAAAATATTTGTGGATATTAGTATCCAACATTTCGTACAATTTTATGTTTTGTATCAACTTTTCAGTTGATATGTAACAAAACATTGTAAACAAAAAAGATTAGGCTGTTTATTTTTAAATGTACTCTAGTACTATATAACTATTAAATCGATGTAACGCTTAATCTGAACAACGCCTAAATATATTAATAGGAAAAAAAGTTCTATCTAGACTGTTAGCTATGAGTGTTGTTTATTTAATTTTATGCAGCGTACACAATTGGTATGTAGAACATTAAGGTAAATTCGTTCTTTTTTTCAGAAGATACATTGTACAATATAGTACAATCTATATTATTTCGCTCAGGCAATTAATATCTTTGAACACAACCAATGATCATTGACGAACACATTGGAACCTACTGTAGTGTTGATATCTATATAATGTATATAGGTAAAAGGCTATCTATACAATGTGTATAGGTAAAAGGCGATCTATACAATGTGTATAGGTAAAAGGCGATCTATACAATGTGTATAGGTAGAAGGCAAAATTAGTTTACCGATGGTCAAAACCAATTTTGAATACTAGTATACAAACCAAAGAAAAACACGAGGGAATCGCGTGATGTAGACCTTTTAAACGTGATGTTGATTTCAGTCGTTCTTCTTCACAACCCTGATATAGGAGTATTTCCGTTACACGGGTGTCATTCGGTATATCGAGAAAAAAGATCGTGAAAGAATACCTAAAGGTGGTCAAGTATTACGATTGGATCGTGAAAGCTCTGGTATAGGATCGTGAATTCAATCTTATCGAGAGGACATAATAATGCAAGGTCAATTACTAATCTAATATAATGAATAATACGGACAAATTTACAAACAAATAAAACTGTCTGTCAAAATGGTTCAACATAATGATCAGTATCTCAGAAAAATCAAGGTTTAAAAGTAAACCGTTCTTACAAAACTACAAAATGCAGATTGCTCCTCGACATTTCAATGACATTAAATATGTAAATAAACAAGATTTTTTTCATAATTCGAATGACTTAACAACTTTTCTTTGAAAAATGTCATTTCATTTTAATGATTCAAATGATTCTTACAGTTATTTTGTGTAAGCATAATCAGAATTTTGGCAAAAAATTGGGAATATTTACAAATAAATGATTTTTTGGATCGTGAAAGATCGTGTACCGCTTTTTGAAGATCGTGAAAAGGATCGTGAAAGATCTGATGTTACGAAAACGTTCGACTCATTATTCAATTATATGGTAATTTATATTTTTAATTGGTATAGCAAATATTGGATTTGCATGACTCATTCCGGTTCTCTTTTGTTGGTGAATAGAGCTATAATCGTTCAATGCCATTGGATCTGATTATCTTATAATACCAAACCGACTAGGTGCCTTATAGCAATATCAGTCCTATTTTCCGTCCTTCATAAGTTTTGATTTCTTATACAAATTTAAGATTGAGAATAGAACTTAATCGGCTAAATTACAGTTCAAGCTGGGCATCATGCACAATCGATCGCGAGGTACGTTGATTGGTAATTTTCCCCACT